TATTCTTTTTTTTTTTCTTTTTTGCAACATAAGCAGTTTGATTACAAAAGCAAAAATGGCAGTCTTATGACCTACTATTTTGTTAAAACAGCAAATTGTAAGAGATCAGTCAACGTAAGAGCGGCCTTCAATGTCCGGAGGAAAGGGGAATGGGCTGCTAGGCTACAGTCTATACAAATTAAGGCCTGCATGTTACAGACCTGCTTTGTCTTTTTGTTTCTCATACAGTAAATTACACTTTAAATGTAATGTTAGCCATCATATTATCTCCTGTATTTCTTGTTAGAATACATGTATGTTCCTGCAAGAAGGTTCAAGTGTGTGATACTTTCTCTACTTTACAGCTGAGATCAGCCATACTTGTAAACATGCTTCAACTGTTTCCTATGGCTCCCACAAAGATAGCGCCATCTCAGGCAGCCACAGTGTAAGGACAGTAGGATGTCAACACAGGCGTCAAGTGCTTGACCCTGGACAAAAGTAAAAACTAAGATTTCAATTCCTCCTTCTCACCTACACTTCTTTCGTCTCAGACTTCCGCAGACACTCGAGTCGTCTGTCACCTGTGAGAAGGCAGTGCAGCAAATGCAGCAAAAGCTTCAAGCTCTTTCCCAGCACCCTCTGAGCCCTGACCTAAGGGAGCGGCCAGCAGTCTGCAGGCAGCTGGACTCTCGGAGCATTCGGTCTCTGCAGAGACTGCCATAGCAGTGCCAGGCTCTGATGTAGGCAGCTCCTGCCAGACAGAAAAGGACAGCATTCTGGCGCCCTGACCCGGGAGAGGAGTGCTACTTCCAACTCCCATCACAGGCTCACCCTCCTTTCTATGGGAGCTGGCTATCTTCCGGGGAAGCTCAGCCCTGTGACAAGAAAAAGATATGCAACTACGAAGACCAACCACAAGATGGTGCTAGCATCACAGTGCAGTATCAGCCTTCCCAAGCACTCAACAGACTGGAATCTCATTCTGGTTCACCAGGCACTATTCCCATCCCTTGTTATTTACTGTGACTTAACCAAACATCTTATACATGTTTGTAACTTTTAAAAAGACAACTTCAATGGTGTTAATTTATTTGTGTTTTGTTAAGAAACAATCTTAAATTGAAGGGAAAAAGTACAACCCTCAGCTCGCTATTTTATTCCTTTCGCTGGTTTATCTTCTTTGACTATTCTAACATCATGACCTCTCTGTGCTAATTAATGCCTGAGACACCTGCTTCACACATTTTGTTTGTTTGTTTGTTTTTCCTTTTTTATTTAAACAAGGTTGTTTTATATGTCAATCCCAAATCTCTCTCCTTCCCATCCTCCCCTGTCTCCCCCACCAAACCCCAGCCCATCCTCTCTCTGCTCCCCAGGGAGGGTGAGGCCTTCCATGGGGAGTCTTCCAAGTCTATCATATCATATGGAGCAGGGCCCAGGCCCTTCCCCATGTGTCTAGGCTGAGAGAGTATCCATGTATGTGGACTGGGCTCCCAAAGTCCATCTGTATACTAAGGACAAATACTGATCCACTGCCAGAGGCCCCATAGACTGCCCAGGCCTCCTAACTGACACACATTCAGGGGCCTGGGTCAGTTGTTTTTCAAGCCCTGGGGAGGCTCACAGAACCCTGAAAACATAAATGGGGAGAGCAGCAGTAATGCTGTGATTCCATCTTCGCAGGAGCTCCCCTCCAAGCTCCACAGTAGAGTTTCAGTTCCACAAGAACAACACTACACTGATTCTACTTCAGACTGCGTTCCATGGTGCAGTAACCCAGCCATGCTCTCTACACACCACAGCATGAGATGAAGCAATGTATATTGAAGAACTTTATAAACTTCCAATCATTATAAGCTATCAATGGCAGATGAGCAGAAAGTCAAATGTCACACCTTCTCACTCACTTATGGAAGCAGATGTCAACCAGTAGAGATACAACAGTGGTCACCAGAGACAGGGACAGGGAGAGGGAGACAAAGAAAGCGATGCCTTTCAGGTATAAGGAAAGTGTTGCCGGGGAGAGACTGCATAAACTTGATGTATGCAGTGGGCAGAGACATGCATGGAAATGCTCTAGTGAAGCTTATTAATATGCAAAACTCATATACATTAATTAGAACATATTTTAATCTTAAGAACAAAAAGAAATATTTAGGGGCTTGACTCAGTGGTTAAGAGCATTGGCTGCTCTTCCAGAGGACCCAGGTCCCCAGCCACCACATGCTGGCTCACAATTCTCTTGTAACTCCAGATCTAAGGTATGCAACACCCCCGTCTTCCTCCGCTGGCCCCAGGAATACATGTGGTAACACAGAGACACATGAAAGCAAACTACTAGTGCACATTTAAAAAAAAATGTTTTAATACTAGGCATTGCAGAGAACACCTTTAATCCTAGCACTTAGGAGGCAGAGGCTGGGTGATCTCTGTGAGCCTGGTCTATATAGTAAGTTCCAGACCAGCCAGAGGTACACAGTGAGACCAACCCTTTCTATAAATAAAGATCCCTGGAGGAAGTTGTCTCCACACACAGCAGAAGAAAGCTGAAGCACTGACTACATACGTAAACATGAATACTTAGTGACGTCATCGGATGTGAAGTTTAAGTTCACAGCTGTTAGCTCCATGTTTTTTTCATAGTAGAAAATGTAACCAAGAAAGGAACACTCATCCAGAAACATAATTTCTAAATACCTAAAGAAAAGGCGTGTGCCAAATATTAGCCTCTCCGAGGAAAGACACGGAACTGAGCGTCGGGTTTGGTGAGGCAGGGCCTACGGAAGTGAAGTAACGTGTGTCTGCCATGGAAAGACCGAAGTGAAGCCCGAGTGCCCTGGGTTGAGCCGTGTCTCCAGGTTTCCAGGCCCTACTTCCCATCCCAGCATGAGATGTGTTTAGAGAACAGGTCTTCTAGGAGGTGGCCAAATCCCAACCAGGCCACTGGTTAGCGAGCGCGAGCAGGAGATTCTGTAAGGACGGGAGGAGGCCACCCACAAACAGAGCAAAGCCTTGAACGGAGTGAGCTGGCCGCTCCTTGTCAGACCTCCCGACCGCAGCCCTCTGTCAGGACAGTTCTCCTACATGACACATTTGCTGCTGGGTTGCTTGGGTGGCACTCTAAAGGAAAAAAGTATCTGCAAAAGTATTCCATAAAAATGAGATGAGCAAATTAAAAATAATCTTTACGGGTATCATCACTTATCACTGGACAGTAGCTTAGGCTTTTCTAAGTATAAATTTGAGTTGACAAATTCTGTTTTTTATTTCACTATATAAGGTACAAATTATTAAGTCAGTGTAATTTTCTTCCTACCTCAAATTTCTTCTACAACAGAAGTCAACCTCCCATAGAGCAGCTGGAGAAGACGTGACCCATTGGGGCCCGGGAGCTAAACACTGACTTTCAGAACCATCTAGACACCCACGCCACCGCCATTGTAGACACCCACGCCAGCACCATCGTAGACACCCACACCACCGCCACCGCCTCCACCACCACCACTGCCCAACTTGTGCCTTTATTAAAAGTAAGAACACAGTGGCATTTCCATCAGAGTGACTTATGGTTTGGAACTTAAATGTCCCTCCCAAAGCCCATGTTAAGGCTTAGTGGCCGGCCTGCCAGGGGTCCTACAGGAAGGTGAGTCTTTCGGAAACGGGACCTGTGAAAGGGAGTCAGTCAGTGCGGGATACCCTGCACAGGAAAGGGCCAGTGGCCGCTTCTTTCTCCGTTTGGATCCTGGCCACCACAAAGAGCACTGCTTGGCTTGAGCACGACATTCTAACAGCCACAGACTCGCTTCTGACTCTGAGCCAAATCTGCCTTTCCTCCTTAGCTGCCAGCTCCCTCAGCACGTTTCGCCATGGCTGACTGGCACAGTGCTCATGCAGCCATCTTACTCCTCAGGGTGTTTCCCACTGAGACGTAAACTCACAACGCTTCCAAGCCTCACAAGCATTTCCCTTAACGCCACTGCACGCAGAAAGGAATCGTGTAGTCTGGAAGTTTGCTTTCCAAATAACTAAGGGAGAGCCAGACACAGAAAATCCTTATAAATTTGACTTCCCCTATAAATGTGGACTCACAAATACAGCAGAGTCGTGTAACAAAACATAACTGTGCCACTCACGAGGCAGGGACAATTCTTTCTTCATATGCATGTTCTTTCACTTTAAATGTGAAGAAGATGGAATTGAATTTGTTTATTGAAACCCTAGTGTGCTATGCCCACGTGCACAAGAACAATTGTTACCACTGCATCCACTACTTTATCTCTTTCATCATTCGCAGTATTTTATCAATGTTCTAATCTGAATCCTAAAATAGTGGTGAAATCCCAATGACCTAAAATTTACTACTTTAGGTCGTTTTAGGTGCCTAGCCTACTGGTGCTAGACAAACTCCCAGTACTGAGCTATAAACTCTGCTTCTTGTAGAATGGAGAGTCCACACATCTAACAGCTGGAGGCCCCCCTGCCCCACCCCAGCAAGTGCCATTTTACTTCCTGTTTCTGGGTCTGGCCACTCTAGCCATGTATCTCATCTACCTTCTGGGAGTGACTTGCTGCGCTTTGCCTAACGTCCTCGGGGTCCTGCTGCTTGTAGCATATGCAGAAGGCTGACAGGGACCACCATGTCCAGTTGCTTACGTGACTGCTGGGTTTCCAAACTGGGACCCTCAGGCTTGTGTGGCAGCTCACCTGCTGAGCCATAGACTCAGCCCGATGTGCTGTAAAGGCCCGAAACCCTGGGTTTTGACATTCTAACCAGTGCTAAATACCAGTAAGTGCTATGCAGACTCAAGGACTGGGCATCTTGGACCTAGCTGAGAGCCACGTCATCTGCCAGCACTAATCCCTGTGATCTCCAAGTCCTAAACAAATCCCTTGTTCATCTCCTGCAGGAGCCCTGAGATTGCATTTAATGCTGACTAAGGAACAGGGAGGAAACAGCAAAGAAATGAAGCGAAAATCCAACTTAACACTGAGGACGACAGAGGCAGAAGTGAACTCACAAACTCTGCTTCCAGCTTGCCCATTTCTTGCTTGTAGCTTCGCATTCTGTTGCTGTACATCCCTCGACTCTGAGGTGGAATTTCTCGGACTTCCAAATCCATCTGTTCAAGCTGAAGTGGGGAGAGAGAAATGTGAACCACGTGCATATTCTTTATTCACCCACATGTTAGCGCTAAAAGGACTGGATTCTAAGTCCTGGATTTGAGGCTGAGGAAGCAGAGCTACAGCGCTGGCTGCTCACGATCAAGTAACATTGGAGATGCTTTGGCGCTTACTTCCTGACCGGGTCAGTAAGCAGCTAGGGAATGACAGGGGCGATAAGCTGCCTGCTTTGTTTAGAATTTGTTTTGAAAAACATATGCGTTAATCAAAACATTCTCCTTAATTGGTTCTCAGTGTCCTTGGATCAGCCAATTGTTCAGTGCACCCTGATCTGATCTTCAGACTGTGACTCTGTGGGATGGGCGATCGTTTCCTATGGCTCATCAGTGAAACGGCAGCCCGGCTTAGACACACAAGCAAATTTCTTTGAGAAAGTCTTTCCTAATTAGGAAAGCTCACATGCAGCCAACATGGACCTCGGCTGACGGCTTAACTCCTACACATTTAAACCACCCTGGTAAGGAGGAAATGGACATGGCAATGTTGGTGAGCCTGCTCACTGAAGCCACAGCAGCCATGCTTAGCTATCTGTCATCCTGTAACACTTGGATACAGCACATGAGTTAAGGGGTGCCAGGACAGACATGCGACACCAGCTCAGAGCCCAGGCTTTGTAGTGAGAGCCTGTGTTCACACTGCAGGCACCACTACTCACCAGCCATGCGGGCTTGAACAGAGGTCTCAGTGACCCTCCACCCACCTCATTGTTCCCACCTCTTAAAGAGTAATCTCTTTCCTAGGACAGCCATGAAAATTAACTGAGTAATCGCTACAATGTGTGTAAAGTACTGTATCTACTGTATCGCTAGAATGACAATAACTGTAGCAATAGTTACAAAGAAACAGAGCCAGCACTCTACATGCCCCTAAAAGAGGAAAAACCAGGAAGAACAGAAAATTGGCCCAGACTAAGTCAATAACGTCCTCAGGAAAACACAGCAATGAATTTGCTTCCGAGAGCATCCTTACAGGTTCATGACCAAGCTGAGCACCTACTGACCACTGGTAGAGACTGAATAGAATTACAGACAGACCAAATAAACAATTGTAATTAAGATGTGTACTTTCATAAGAAAATAAGATATTTTTAATTAGCCCTTTTCAAAGAGTGATCATGTAAGTAATTGATACAGCTCATCACAAATATGAAGGCTGAACGCCCCTTCCCAAGCAGAGACGGGGGTAGTGTGAACACCCCTTCCCAAGCAGAGACGGGGGTAGTGTGAACACCCCTTCCCAAGCAGAGACGGGGGTAGTGTGAACGCCCCTTCCCAAGCAGAGACGGGGGTAGTGTGAACGGCCCTTCCCAAGCAGAGACGTGTGTAGTGTGCCTATCTACCCATCACTGCCATGTTAGGAAAATGCTACGGATGTGGGCGAGACCACTTCAAGACTCTGCTTTCCATTCTATCGATTACAACCAGAAGCAGGACTTGCTTAACTGTCTTTCCCCCTGTCATTATTAAGCATTTTAACATTATGCTTTTAGAAGTTTTACTAAACTTCCTAAGAAGTAGACAGCCTCTCATTGAGCCCACTGTGCATCAATTGGCTGGGATAGCTGCCCACCTCCCAATGCCAGGTTCAGAGACCGGCACAGCCTTGCCCAGTTCTTTATGTGACTGCTAGGTTTCCAAACGTGGGGTCCTCGCTTGTGTGGAATGGATGAAATCATCACTTATCAAGGCATCTCAGTCTCTGACAGCATCGCTGTTTACTACCGTTGTGTCAGTATTTGAAGTTAACGTACAAAGTGGTGGGTTTGCTACGGCATTTTCACGCACACTTTGTTACCTGCCCCTACCCCATCTCCCTCCCCCGTCATTCTGTCTTCCTCTCGCGTGTCACATACACCCAATCGCACTCTTTCGTCCCTCTCTCCTTCCTGTCAGAACTCTCCACTGCTCACTGTCACCTTCCCAGTTTATCGGACACCCTTCCCTACACCTGCTCTCTCAGATCTAATCTGCGTAGTAAATACAAGAAATCCTTGTTTTTCAGAATCTAGATTGTTCCACTTAACATAACGGCTTCCAGTTTGATCCATTGTCCTGCAAATGTCATGATTCCACTTTCTTTACAGCAGAGTGTAATTCTGTTAGGTATGTCCCTTGTTTCTTTACCCTTTCACCCTGTTGGAGGACACTGAGGCTGCATGCATGTCTCAACTACTGCAGACACATGGACATGCATGTCTCAACTACTGCGGACACATGGACATGCATGTCTCAACTACTGCGGACACATGGACATGCATGTCTCAACTACTGCAGACACATGGACATGCATGTCTCAACTACTGCGGACACATGGACATGCATGTCTCAACTACTGCGGACACATGGACATGCATGTCTCAACTACTTCGGACACATGGACATGCATGTCTCAACTACTGCGGACACATGGACATGCATGTCTCAACTACTGCGGACACATGGACATGCATGTCTCAACTACTGCGGACACATGGACATGCATGTCTCAACTACTGCGGACACATGGACATGCATGTCTCAACTACTGCAGACACATGGACATGCATTCTCAACTACTGCGGACACATGGACATGCATGTCTCAACTACTGCAGACACATGGACATGTAAATATCTCTGTGGTGGGACATATTCAACAGTGGCATCCCTGTATCACTCGGCATGCCTACTTAAAGCGTTTTAAGAACCCTCCATATTGATTTCCATACTGCTTTTATCAGTCCTCATTCTCATCTACAGTGAACAAGGTTCCTTTCTCCGACACCCTTGCCGTATTAGTTAACTTTTTGGGTTTGTTTTATTTTTTTAATTTTGTTGAGACAGTGTCTAATACAGGCTGGCCTTGAACTTACTGTGTACCTGAGGAGAACATGACCTCTAAACTTCTCCTGCCGCCTCTTCTTGAGATTACAGCATTTGCCACCCCCTGGCTCTGCTGTCTTTTGATGATAACCACTCTGACCAGACAAGTAAATCCTCCAGTGGTTTTAGTTTGCATTTCTCTGATGGGTAAAAATGTAAAACATTTTTTTAAACTAGCCTGTTTCTTTGACAATTGATTTTTCTTGTGTCTAGTTTTTGCAGTTCTTTATATTTCCTACCATATAGCTGGCAAAGATTTTTCTCCCATCCCATAGTCTCTTCACTTTGGTAATTATTTCCTTTGTCGTGTGAAGCTTTCCAATTTCATGTAATCTTCTCTGCCAGTCTTCGCAGTTATATGTATTCCTTTTAGGAAAGGTCTTGCTTCTGCCTGTTAAAGTTTTTCGGAGCTGGAGGGATGGCTCAGGGTAGAGGCTACTTGGCTGCCTTGCAGAGGACCTGAATTTGATTGCTAGAATCTCGGGCAGGTGACGTACAGCCTCTTGTAACTGTATCTCCAGGGGATCTGACACCATCTTCTGGCCTCTAGGAGCACCCACACACACGTGTGTGTACACATAAATGAAAATAAATATGCTGGCCATAGCAATTTCAAGCTTCACGTGAAGGCCCGTGGCTCAGTCTCACCTGGTATCTGTGCAGGGTGAGAGGTATGGCTCTAGTTTCACTTTTCTACATGTGAAAGGCAGTTTCCACAGCACGGTTTGTTGGAAAGGCTGCCTATTCTGCCATGTATGCTTTTGACACCTACGGGAAAAAATACAGGTGTCTAGAGCTGTGTGAGTTCATTTCTGGGTACCTGGTTTCATTCCAGTGGTCTGCATGGCTGTTTTTGTGCCGGTACCCATACTGCCTCCGTCACTATGGCTCTGTAGTGTAGTTTGAGATTGGGTGACACGGAGCTTCTACCATTACTGTTTCTGATTAAGAACACTTTGGCTACATGGGGCCCTTTATGGCCCCATATAAATTTTGGGTTGCTTTTTCCAGCTTTATGAAGAATGACACTGGGGTTTTGACGGAGAATATATTAAACATGCAGATAATTTACAGTAAGATAGCCATTTTCATAATATTAATTTGCAAACCATAAGCATGGAAGGGCCTGCCATCTTCCTGCTCTTTTTCAACATCTTCAGTGCTGTAAAGTTTACAGGACAGAGGTCTCATTTCCTTGATAGGTTTGTTCCAATTTCTTCTCTTTTTTTCAGGAATTGTAAATGGGGATTTTTTTTTTTTTTTTTTAAGTGATGTCTTTCTTGGTAAGTCCATTCATTATTTACTGATTTTGCCTCCTTCTGCTTGGTTGCAAATGCACACTGGATCTAGACACCATCTAATAGAAGCTTAAGGATCTCTAAAAATAGGGCCATCCTGAAAGAGTGATCACTACTAGGCCATGCATGGTGTGCAGGCCTTTGATCCCAGCACTTGGGAGGCAGAAGCAGGAGGATCTCTGGGAGTTGGAGGACAGCTTGGTCTACAGAGAGAGTTCCAGGGCAGGAAGCAAAGCTACACAGAGAAGGAGGGAGTGACATCCCGGCGTCTCCTTTCCCGTTATACTCTCTTCACGTCTCTCTCATCTATCACTCTAGCTAGGGCTCCCAGCACTACCCTGAATAAGGCGGAAGGGTTGGTATTTAGTCCCTGTAAGGTGAACTATGTCCTATTAGAATCAGGAACAAGGGCCGCATACACTCACTCTGTCCTCACAGCACTTGGGCAGCTACTGAGGAGTACAAGACACCGTAAGTTCAAAAAGTGCAGTGCCCATAGATTATTAGAAACTACATGATTGGCAGAAATATAACCGTCCTTGCAACCAAATCAAAATCAAGCTTTCCTGTCAGTTTCTGAATCAAAAGAACAGTATGTAATTTAAGATACCATTAAAACTAAATAGTTCAGCTTTCTGAACATTTTAACCAAACAGAAATGCTTATTTTAGGTTCAAATCCTTACATTATTAATAATAAAGTATTGCAAGTTCCATGAGGGCTTGGTTATGGTAGAATCTCAATCCTAAAGAGACAAGCTTTCTCTTATTATCAGGTAAACAAAATGCCTCCCGAAGGTAAAGAAATAAAAGCAGTGTTCTTAAGAGGAAACTTAACGTTAAGTGGGAACTTAACGTTTATAGTCACCCACCAGGCAGAAGTGCACTGATTGGCTGGCTGCTCTCATCTAAAGTCGGGGTCTTCACATGAGAGGCAAGACGTGTGAAAGACAGTTACTATAAAAGGGAGGATGAAGAAGAGAGCCAGGCATTAGGAGATTTGGAAGGGGGATGGAGACAGTGGCAGCAGCCACAAGCAACTACAGGTCATAGGGTTTGGAGACAGCTGGACACTCTGACCACTGCAAACAGAGCAGCAGCCTGTAGATCCCAGTCAGGTCCATCTTAGACCCCAGGAAAGGCATGCTGTGCAACGAGGAACAACTCCCCCCCTTGAAGACCCCAAATCTGCTGCCTCTGGTACACGGTTCCACTAACAAGTACCATCCATCGAAGCAAGACTCTAGAGAAGTCTCTGCCTTCCCAGAGACTCCACGTGGAGATGAAAAGCACAGAGTCTGGATACTGTATGCTATGGGGTTGTCTTTAAATTCCTCAATTGCTAAGGAAGGAACAATTGCTACAATACACTTGATTATCAATGCTGCTAAATTAATCCAATGTATATATTTTAAAAATTCTTTGACTTCCAAATTTAAGTCCAAGGACAGGTTACTGGGGAAAATGATTTTTATTTTTGTTTCCACATAAAATGAGAAGTTGTGTATTCCTTCCAGACTAACATGGTTTGATCAAGCAAGACCCCCTGAAACAATGTTCTAGGTGATCCAACATTCAAAACAGCTGGGACAAGGCAGCCTTGCAGACCACTACAGCCAGGATTTCTGCATCATCTTAGGATTCCCCATGACAGCACCCCCTACCAGCAGGAAGCAGTTTGGAAAGAATGACCCCTAAATTCCCAACTATTGTTTATAAATGTTTGTTTTCATTTAAGTGGGGTTGGTTATAAATGGTTAATGACCACAACCAATATCTTTAAAGGTAAAAATGGGATTATGGTATAGATATAAATACTTTGTTTTGGAATGGATTTTCATTTATTGACACAAATTTAAGGTCAATTTTGTGATATGTATATTTCTCCTCTTCTTTAGGTATTATGTTTATATAGCTCATTTAAAAATGTAATGTATAGTTAAGTACAAATTATAGATAGTTACCTATAATAGTCAAAACTTAAAGTAAGGTTGAGTTAGGTTTTCTAGATATAAAGAGATGTATTTGAGATAGATAGAAATTCTTCAAACCTTTCAAAGACCTACAGAATGTGGCATTTAAAATGGTTTAGGGTTTTTCTTAACAGCAAGGCACAACTGCTCCTGGCTACACCACCTGTGTCAGAAAGGAAGATGGCCATCGAAGAAACTCGTTATGGAGTTGACTTCTAACATGGAAAGACTAGCCATTTGATGAGATATTGCTGTTGTCTGAACTACTTGACTTTATGCTGTATAAACTGGACATGCAGAACCCACAGAAAAGTGCCTGCCGATACAAGATGGACACTGCTACAGAGTTTCTGCTTCATGGAAGAGTCTGCCAGACAGTCTGCAGGACACAGACAAAAATGACTGACAAACTGCCAATACAGGCAGACAGTTTGAAATTTCTTCCTTTGCTGAGGAGTCTGCCAGACACATTGTGCCATATGGGCCAAAGATGGAACATTACAGAAGAACTTTGGGTGACTGACCAGGCGAGTTGTCTCTGTCAATTCTATAGTTTATATATTATACTTCTTTGATGAAGTTGAAGACAGATAGTTATGGTTATAGTTTTCCTTAGTTAGAATTAAAGATAATTTACATATAGGACTTTAGACTCACAAAGATAGGATAGATGATAGAATATTTTCTTTAAATCTTGCTAAATGTTAATGAACTAAATATTGTTAACTGTGGTTCTTATCTGATAACTGTTTTGTTATATATTTTGCTATGTTAAGGTTAAAACCCTTCTTTTTATTTTAGACAGAAAAGAGATGATGGGAGATATCATTCAGTATATATGTTTCTCATATTCGTTAATGAATAAAGCACTGCTGTCCAACAAAAAAGCAAGATAGGTGGGACTAGGAGAAAAGGAGGATTCGGGAGAAGGAGGAGGAGCTTCAACATACAGGGACTTGAGAGAGCAAAACTCCAGACCCTCTCTCCGCTAAGATGAGACCACATGGAAATACTTAGATTGATAGAAATAGGTTAATATTTAAGACAGAGCTAGCCGATAAGAAACGTTAGTTAACAGGCCAACAGCTTTACATTTAATATAGCATCTCTGTGTGTTATTTGGGGCTGGCATGGCTGTGGGACCAGGCTGGTGGGAAAATTACTCATAACATCTCTTTTGTCCCTTGGATTTATTGTCATGAAAAAGCAGAGTATGAGCCAGGGCTCTAGTTGTAGTCACCCAGGCACAAAGCCAACAGAGCCCACAGGAGGGTGTGGGACCTCAGGTGTATTTCCAGCCTTCCTAAGCCTCCTCTGCCCTCGTCTGTAATGGTGGTAGCAGTGATCTAGGCACCACTCTACTGGGATTATCTGATGCTCCTACAGAGTTCTCTGAGCATGAATGTGATGTTCTAACAACTCTGTCTCAAAGTCTATCCACACAGAGCTGCCCCGACCCACGGGCAGTCAACAAGGAAGCGGGAAGCACCTAGGAGAGAATGAAGGACCAGGGATACAAAGAAGGGCCGCAGCAAGACAGGATTCTGATCAAGCTGTTAGACTTTATTTCCTCAGGGGAGGCTTACACAGGGCCATAGGCAGGATGGGAGCAGAGTTTGCAAGTGGGCAGGGGGAAAGGGTCAGTAGAAGGAATGCCCTGGACTAATCTTTAACTGGCTGTAAAACTAGCAGGAGGAATATCCTGAGCTATTCTTTAACTGGTTGTAAAGCTACAACAGGAAGACTATCCTGAGTTATTCTTTAACTGGTTGTAAAACCAAAAGTCTGTATCTAGGAATGTTCTGCTGAACAATCTGCTCACTTCTTAAGAGGCAGTGATTTTCTATCTCAGAGGCCTGAGGTAGTGAGGATGGTGATGGTCCCCAACACAGAGCAACTGAAGAATGGGATAATATGTCTCTCTGGGACAAAGACCAGGCTTGTTTCTAGGCTGCTGTGTGCGTCTTACTGCCCACACTTTGTGTTCGGGTCTCCCTGTGGAAACTGGGGTCAGGGAACCAATACGACGAAGCTGATGTCCTGGCAGTTACTTCTATTGTATCAGGAGGCCTCAGCTTCTGACTCAGGAGTCTCATGTCTCGGGAGCTGGGGCAAACAGCTCAGTCAGCAAAATGCTTGCCCCACAAGCATGAGGGCCTGAGTTCGGGTCACAGCACCCACATAAAAGAAGGCTGAGGCAAAATACATGCCTGCAATATCCGTCACTGGAAAGTAGATGCAGGGCCTCTGGAGCTTGACTGACAGCCATTCTAGCTGAGTCAGATGAGCCTGGGGTCCAGGGAGAAACTCTGTCTCAAAAAAGAAGGCAGGGAGAAACTGAAGAAGACACCTGATGTCCACTTCTGGCCTCCACACCCATATGTACTTATGTGCACACATACATATGTTCACAAGTACCCCTCCCCCACATGTGCAAACACACACACATACACAAGAAATCTCACATCTTCTGTGGGAATCCACAGACACTGGCAAATTTCGTCAGCTTCCAAGTTGGTGGAAATCTCAGACCTCTGTCAGTTTTGAAAGACAAGTTATCTAACGGGGATAGAAAGTTACAGATGGTAACACAAACTTACCCTAGGGTGTAGTATGGCTTTACCAAACATTAGCTACTAAGATCATGTACTAAGAGACTGGTTCTTAGGAGGAGTATTCAAACGAAATGTAAATTAGTCTGGCATTTATTGAGCCACCTTTAGTAAAAAGAATAAAATCTCTAGAAGCTATTAAACCCCCTTTAACATGAAAAGGGAGGAGCTGTTAAAGAGACCAAGTGCATACTGTCCACGTGTGTCCACAGCATACACAGCACCGTTCCACGCGTGTCCACAAACACGGCAGGCTCTGGGGTTTGGCTCAAGGGGCTGTGTTCAATAAATCCTTAAGGCTACGCACCAATTCTCTGGCCTCTTCAAGCTGTTTCTCCACGTTGGCAACCATTTGCTTCTTCTCATCTAAAACAAGCAAGAATATCAAAGAAATGAGAATTATACAACATATATTGAATATGCACTGGTTCCCAACCTTCCCAATGCTGCAACCCTTTAATACAGCTCCTCATGTTGTGGTGACCCCCAACCATTTAAATTATTTTCATTACTATTTCATAACTGTAATTTTGTTACTATTATGAGTCACAATGTAAATAACAATGTTTTCCGGTTGTCTTAAGACAGCCCCTCTGAAAGGGTCATTTGACCCCCCCAAAGGGTCAAGACCCAAAGGTTGAGAACCACGCACCAAAGCCTTTTATTTTAATATAACCTTGTCCTTTCTGAACCAACAGATTAGAAAATTAAAGCAAGCAGATCATTCTTTGGGGGTTGGAGACATGGTTCGGAAGTTAAGAGCACAGGCTGCTCTTCCAGAGGCCCTCCATTCAATTGACAGCACCCACATGGTGGCTCACAACCATCTGCAACTGTAGTCTCATGAGATATGATGCCTTCTTCTAGTATGGAAATATAAAGACAAAGAGTACATAAATGAATAAATCATTTTTTTAAAAATCATTCTTTGGTAGGTTACAGGACACACTGAACATTGACTGTGCACTATGTGGAAATACATAATCCAAGGAAGGGCCGAATTGTTAAGAGGTCATATATTTATACGTGAGACTAAAAGGAACTTTGTTCACTGGTAAAGATAATGTAAACAGCAGCAGATAGAATGGTGATCTGAGAAACCTGCTAAGTCACTGTTGTAATAAATCGGAATCACTGATTTGTGACTATTTAAAACTCACACATATAAGTTCTATGCATGGCAATAGATATGGATCTATCTGCAGCCTTCTACACGCTAGTGTCCAGTTATGCCAGCACCATTTATTGAAGATGCTTTCCTCTTTTCATTGTATAACTTTAGCTGCTTTGTCAAAAATCAGGTGTTTGTAGGTGTGTGGGTTAAAATCAAAGGGTTTCCATTCAATTGCATTGGTCTACCTGTCTTTTTTTTTTTTTTTTTTTTTTTTTGTGCCAATACCAAGCTGTTTTCATTATTATAGCTCTATAGTAGAGCTTGAAGTTAGGGATGGTGATACCTCTGGAAGATCCTTTAATGTACAGGGTTGTTTTGGCTATCCTGAATTTTTTGTTTTTCCATATAAAGTTAAATATTGTTCTTTCAAGGTTTGAGAAGAATTGTGTTAGGATTTTGAATGGGATTGCATTGAAGGGAAAATGGGAGCTACCCTTGAATGAAGTGTTACAGGAGAAATACAGGAGAAAACTTCCTGAACATAACACCAGAAGCACAGACACTGAGATCAACAATTAATAAATGGGACCTCCTGAAACTGAGAAGCTTCTGTAAGGCAAAGGACACGGTCAACAAGACAAAACGGCAGCCCACAGAATGGGAAAAGATCTTCACCAACCCCACATCTGACAGAGGGCTGATCTCCAAAATATACAAAGAAATCAAGAAGCTAGTCACCAAAACACCAAATAATCCAATTAGAAAGTGGGGTACAGAACTAGATAGAGAATTCTCAACAGAGGAATCTAAAATGGCTAAAAGGCACTTAAGAAATCAATCAACATCCTTAGCCATCAGTAAATGCATATCAAAACAACTCTGAGATACCATCTTACTCCTGTCAGAATAGCTAAAATCAAAAACATCAGTTTATGCTGGAGAGGATGTGGAGAAAGGGGAACACTCCTCCACTGCTGGTGGGAGTGCAAACTTGTACAGCCACTTTGGAAATCAGTATGGTGGTTCCTCAGGAAAATGGGAATCAGTCTACCTCAGAATCCAGTAATTCCACTCTTAGGCACATACCCAAAGGGTGCACACTGATACAACAAGGACATCTGTTCGACTCTGTTCATAGCAGCATTATTTGTAATAGCCAGAACCTGGAAGCAGCCTAGATGCCCCTCATCCAAAGAATGGATACAGAAAATGTGGTACATTTACATAATGGAGTAATACTCAGCAGGAAAACAAAACAAACAAACAAACCAATGAAATCTTGAATCACAGGCAAATGGATGGAACTAAAAGACACTATCCTGAGTGAGGCCATCCAGTCACAGAGAGACAAACATGGTATGTACTCACTCAAAAATGGATATTAGACATAGCACAAAGGATTACCAGCTATGATCCACATCTCCAGAGAAGCTAGGAAACAAGGAGGACCCTAAGAGAGACACACATGGTCCCCTGGAGAAGGGGAAAGGGACAAGAACTCCTGAAAAATTGGGAGCACGGGGGTTGGGGGAGGATAAAAGAGGAGGGGGAAGATTGAGTCAGGGGAAGAACAGAGGAGAGCAAGAAGAGAGATACCTTAATAGAGGGAGCCATTATAAGTTTTTAAAGAGAAATCTGGCACTAGGGAAATGTTCAGAGTTCTACAAGGATGACCCCAACTAACAACCTAAGCAATAGTGGTGAGGCTACCTTTAATGCCCTTCCCCGATAATGAGATTGATGACTACCTTATTTGTCATCCTAGAGCCATCACACAGTAGCTGATGGAAGCAGAAGCAGACACCCACAGCTAAACACTGAGCTGAACTCCTGGAATCCAGTTACAGAGAAGGAGGAGTGATGAGCAAAGGGGTCAAGACCAGGCTGGGGAAACCCACAGAAACAGCTGACCTGAACAAGGGGAATCCAGCATAGGATTGAACCAGGCCCCCTGAATGTGGGTGTCAGTTAGGAGGACTGGGCAGTCTATGGGGCCTCTGGCAGTGGAACCAGTATTTATCCCTAGTGCATGAATGGCTTTGGGAGCCCATTCCCCCATGGAGGAATACTTTCAGCCTAGATACTCAGCCCCAAATGATAATGATGTGACAGACTTTGATGACCCCCAAGGAAGGCCTCACTCTCCCTGGGGTGTGGATGGGGGAGCAGAATGGGGGATTGGTGGGGGGCATGAGAGGGTAGGAGGGAGGGGGAACTGGGGCTGATAAGTAAAATAAGACTGTTTCTAATTTAAATTTAAAAAGAATGTAAAACAAATAAACAAACAACAAACAAGCAAGGCGCTCTGAACTTACAGCCCGCAGGGGTCTAAAGGACCCACTGAACCCATTGTAGGATCTATGTCTGGATCCTGGTCAGTAAAAGGCCATTTGGTTTAAAGGGGAAAAGAATTCTTTCTACTTTTAACTCAGATGATGTGAGTAAAGTACGGACTTTAGTCAACACCAAATAATATGGATGCAGGACTTGTGGCAAACACACCAGTGTGTGGTGTTAACGGAGGGCCGCTCACATGGGTAAATGGAGTTATTTTTCTGGGTTTTTATATAACTTCTACTGTTGTGAAAGAAAAGGTTTAGGGTCAGCAGTATAGCCGGCTGAGTGCGTGTTTAACAAGGCCTTGGATCCAACCCCCAGTACCACAAACACAAAATGAAGCTATGACGTGAATTGACTAAACTGTCTAAGGGTGCAAGGTTCCTCTGGATTTTGAGTGTAGACAATGTGTGTAAATGTAAACATGAAACGTGTATATATGTGCACATGCCACAAATTTCGATGTGTCTACTATCCAAAAAGGACTAAAATTCCATAAACATTTGTTTATAAGTAAGTGGGTCAGAGGTGATAACTGATGGCTGTTTTCCCAATACACTCATCTGCCAGCTTCGATGGTCACCTACACTTCCAGGGTGATTCCAGCATCTTCTAAAACACGTCTACTCACCACTGCTACTCCCTGCCTTCACTCCCTTCTTGACACCCTGAATCGGAACCATTTCCACTTCCCTGAGCACCTACTTTTCATCAAGAGACCTTAACGTCACTCTAGCTTAGGCACAGAAAAGGCGCGAGGATTTAAGTGCAAGGTACCCGGTAAAGTACAGTTAAGAGGACAAAGTCTGAAGAGCTGGAGTCTGGCCAGCCCTGCCCACTGCTGACTGAAGCACAGTAGATTAAGTGACATCCCCCATGGCTGGTTTACTATGCTTTCTCGTTTGTGTTGCATGCCTTATTTGCTTCTCATAGCATTGTAAGATTAAAATGATCACCCTGTCCTTCCTATTCTACAGATGGGAGAGGGAAGCTTACGGAGGCCAAGAAGTCTGTTCACAACCACGTGTGTAGTAAGTTTAGGCAGACGTGGGAGGCTAAACAGGTCTGATAGCACCAGCTAAAATAGACTCTTGGTACATCCTAGCTACCGCCCTTCTATCTCCGTGAATGAGGAGCTAAGGACGTGATTTTGAGATGAACTCCTGGTGAGGTGAACTCCAGGACCCCACTGCAATGGAAGCCCTGGCTCTGTGGAGTTCTCTTATGCTAAGGAATTCTCTCCCCACACCACAGAATCAGGAATTTCCAAATCAAGTGACTTACAGTCTCAGCTCAGTGATTTTCCTTATTTTCGAAGAGAACAATAATCATTAAAAATCAATCTTTAAACTCAGTAAACACAGGGACTCACCCATCCAAAAACCAGATACTAAAATTAGTTAAGATTCAAACACTTCAAAGAGCAAAGTTTATTGGTAAGATGTTACAGAGTCATCAAGTTTCTTTTTAAAATAAAATTTCAGAATGTTTTTCTCCTTTTCTATGTGGAAGTCACCTTAATATGTATACATTGTACACACACAACAGAGAGTTCATTCCCACAGACTCTGGGTGCTCCTGCCTAAGTACATCATCACTGGAGGTGAGCTGCTTTGACTTTAAAGATTGCTCCATTTTTTTAATCATCTTATAGCTGATAAGCTCATCTTTTGGCCTACTTCAGCCGAGTGATACAACTCTGATGCTGTGGGATGTTATAATTACCAGTAATTATGATACTAATGTAAAAGTAATTACAAAATAAAAGCTGTATGCTCAGCTAGCCCACTGCTTTTTGTTGCTAATTCCTGTTATTCATAAACTCATGGGAAAACATACATTTCTGCCAATTAGGGGCAGATTAAGAATGGAGCAAACACAAGTCATTACTAAGAGGAAAACCACTGTATTTTAGAGTCATTTCATTATTTAAGTACAAATTTGTTCCCACAGTGCCAGCAATACAGTATCCTTCCAAATGAAATATGGTTGCTATGTTTGGGCCTCACATTACATGTAAGAAGAGGCATAACAGTATCTTTATTTCTCAAGATACTTAAGTCAACTGTTTCCATCTATGTGGCAAGGATTTTAAACACAAAGGCAAGAAAAATCAATTGTAACAAAATCGGTTTTCTTAGAAAGAATCTTCACAACTCTGTACCCTGGATGATATTATTTTGTAAAACAGTCTTTCAATACTGAAGTTCTTTGCCCAAGAAATATTTCTACTGCTAAAGACAAACAAAAACACATTAAAATTCAAAATGAGTAAAATCCAGCTGCAGCTACAAGTCCCGGTACTCTGAGGCTCTGGGACTCAATCCAAGGGCAGACGTCTCAGACCACAGTGACAACAAAATCAAGATGATCTTGGGCAACGGAGAAAAGTGGGATTGAAGAGAAGAGGCGTGGTGAAGCATCATGAAGGTAACACAGCTCCGTGGTATATGCTACCTTGGCTCTCTCCTCTTGCTCCCTCACTTCAACTCTACCCTCTTTAAGACATCATCCACCTCCTTCAGAACTAACAGGGCCTTCGGGACGGAAGTTCAGAGGTCCTGGCTTCAAGCAAATCTCCCTAATAACAGAAAACAGGTGGGAGGGTACAAGGAAATAAAGAAAATTATTTATAACGCAAAGACTGGGGGCGGGGGAGTCCTGGAAAGGGGTGAGCAACAACACCTTAGATCCAAGAGAAGCTACTGTTGGCATCTTGGACTGGGCTGACTGGGTAAGAAAGTGGCGTTACCCACAATTCTGCCGACCAATGAGAACGGTCGTTTCCAGACAGTATGCTCCAGAGCGGAAGTAGAGACAAGTTCAGCAGCCCAATAATCATTCAATTTCCCTAAAGAAACTGTGCCAAAATAATAACACACTTAATTTTCTCCTACTTAAGTTAAATCTGTACTTAAAGAAAAATAAATCTTAAAACACCATCTTACAAATCACAAGACATCATATCACAATCACCTGCTTATTCTCAAGAACATTCTTCTGAGCCCTTAGAAAAGAAATGTCTAGGAAATCACACACGCCCCCCCACCTTCACACTGTTCACAACCTAGCATGGAGGGTAACAAAACCTGGGAGATGCGGAATTTTAGAAGTGAGCAAAATCACCCTCTACCAAGTTTTACATAAAAAAAAAAAAATCGGGTTATAAATACTCAAGAAGTATGAAAAACACAAAATCAAGGCAGAGGTCTGAAAACCACGGACCCTAACGACAGTTAACACAAAAGGCTTCACAGGCGTGTGTCACTTGATATTTGCTGAGAGAAGTACGTTTCTCTCTAAACCAAGAAGAACCGAAAGATTACGAAAACATGCCTACAAGGCAATTTCTAAGCGTCAGGAGTTGGGCTGGAATGAAGGCATTCTGGCTGGTCACGGAAATGTGCCGCAAATAAGGTTCACAGGATTATTTATTACAACAACAACGCTGCTGCATCTGGGGATCCGGTCTTGGCACTCTTACATTTTCTCGGAATACTCTTATCTTTAGTTTACCCCCCCCCCCAAAAAATGCAGAGCAATGCTTCCGAGGTTACCCAAGCTTTAAAAGCCATGGGGTAGGAATTCTGCACCACCACCCCCCAATTGGATTCCGTGCATACAACTTCCAAGTCAGGACTTCGGGGGCCGCCAGCACCGCCCACAGCAGTCCCGCCCCGGCCGCCCCGGCCGCCCCAGGCCGCCCCCGGCCGGCCGGGCAGGTACTCACCGGGAGGGAGCCGAGGGACCCTGGAAATCTTGCTGGTGATCTCCGCGGTGAGCACTGCGAAGTCCTGCTCGTAGCCTTCGAAGTCGGAAGACATGGCCGCTGGGGATCGGTCGGCCGGGGCCGGGGCCGGGGCCTGGCTCAGCGCAGGACTCACGGCGGGCGCCGGGCCTCGGTGCACGGAGCCCGGGAAGACGCGTCATCAGCACGGCGCCGACCGGGGACGACTCCCAGCCCCGCGGCTTCCTGGTTGTTCCCCGCAATCTGTGTCCCCCGGAAACTGAGCTGCCTGCGCCTTTTCCTTTCCACTCGGTCTTTCGAGAGTGGAACCAAGGGGGAAACGTCACTTTCGGTGTCGCCTAAAGAACCACGGAAAGCTGCGTGCTCCCCTCTCCGGGATCGCCGAAAGCACTTCCCCACATTCGCGTGCGGGGACTCGGAGGGAGCTCTCCCGGGCTCTGAGTGGCGGAAAGCGCCTGCTTCCGGAGGGAAGACTGACGCGGCGGACCTGCCGGAAGTGGCTCTGGCGGAGCCTGCGCCGAGAGCCCGGGTGCGAGCCTGGCGGCGGCAGCGTGAGCCCCAGACGCGCGGCTCCGGGCTGCTCGCGCTCTCCGCACCTTCAGGCTTCGCACGCCGCTTGCTCGGGACTGCAGCGCTCACGACGGAGCTATAAGCAGGAGAAAATCTGTTCCGGGTGACCCCAGGCCGTCCCGGAAACGCCATGGCCGCGCAGCGGGCCCCGGAGCCCAGACTGAGGTGGGAGGCGCCGCAGGGGGTGCAGCCCGCGACGCGGGCGGCTTTCGCCCCGACCCTGTCCCGCCGGGGTCTCCGAAATGTTGAGCCCAGCCTCACTCAGTAAGAATTTGTCTCGTGGCAGAAGATCCCCAGGCCGCCCCGCTCCGCGGCTCGGGCGGGAAACTGAGGCACCCGCGGGCGCAACAGCCGCGTGGGAATCCGTTACGCATACGTCATACCCGTGTGTCGCAGGTCTTTTCCAGACTCACTGCACTGCATTCAGAACTCACTTCTCCAACCATTCCCCGGGCGTGCCTCCCCCCCCTCCTCCCTCCCTCGACCGCGGAGGGAATTGACTTTTCCTCAAATGATCTTGTTTGTGCTCGTTCTCGTGCACTGCTTCTCACACGCGCACACACACGCACACATACACACGCACACACAAAGTTCTACATGCCTAGAGCATGTTACACCAAATCCGCCACGCTGACTCCTTGCCTTGGCTTCTATTCTGGGCTCCGCTGTTACTTGTGACCTTGGCCTAATCACTCAGCCTCTCTAAGCCAGTTTCTGTTGTAGGAAGAATTAGATGAGCGATAATTAGATAAGACCCTGCTTCTTAGCACTCCAAGTCTCTGTTTTCTCAAACTACCCTCTGAGTACGGACAGACGGACGGGATAGTCAATCCTTTCTGACAGTTTGAACAAAGGAGTAAAACTCTCTGTTTAACCTGTCCTGTTTATATGCAGCTCAAGCTTCAACTGTATTTTGGATTGGTCCAAAGCAATACTTTTTGGCCTCGATAAGAGGCCATCCTCACACTAGCGTGCTTTGGAAGTGCTGTCTCTCCTTCTTGGAGTTAAATGAATGGCATGTGGAACCTTTAAGAGGAATTTTCCCGTTTTGTTTTCTTTAGGTTGAGTTTCAAACCAGCCTCGAGATAACGTGTTCTGGATGTCGACAGTGAAAATGGCCAACTCCAGGTTCACACTCTGTCAGCCAAAGGCATGACAGTTCAGGAACATGTGGACTTCTTGGACACAGAAATGTGCGCACAGAAAAAGAAACTCTCTGGTTCTCTAGATAAATGGCAGCGTCCAAAATGGGCACATTCTGCTCAGTAATCAAGTTTGAAAATCTTCAGGAATTGAAACGACTGTGTCACTGGGGTCCCATGATAGCCCTTGGTGTTATAGCAATATGTTCCACGATGGCCATGATCGACTCTGTGTTGTGGTACTGGCCCTTACACACAACAGGAGGAAGTGTGAATTTCATCATGTTGATAAACTGGACTGTCATGATTGTCTACAATTACTTCAATGCCATGTTTGCTGGTCCTGGTTTTGTCCCTCGAGGGTGGAGACCGGTAAGAAAACGATCCATTTTGACAATGATCATTTCATAATCTTGTATGTAATTTGCCGTGGTAATTACATTCTGTTTTTGCCTTGTCAACTTTTGTCCTAGGAGACACTGCATGGTACCCAGGCACTGGTGAACACTTGTGCTTAGAATTGACATCTTTATGAAATATTGATCTATATTAGCTATTCCATAGCAGCAATAATAATAATAATAAAAAAAGGCTGTGTGTGGTAGCCCAGTCTCCGCACTGGGGAGGCAGAGGCATGTCATCTTGTGAGCTACCACACCAGGGCAAAATAGCAAGTTTCCAGAGAGGAAAGGGAAGAGGCAGCCTGAGGCCGAGAACACACATCCAGAACACGGGCAGCCTTGCGTGAGTGTGTAGTGCAGCTGAGGGTGAAACAGGGCCAGGAGGTCTGAAGGCCTGGACTACCGGATATGTGGAGGCTCCAGGGAGAGCTCTGGGAGAGCTGGATAGGGAGGGACACAACCAGACAGGGAGTTACTGAAAGGACACTAAGGGACGATGACAAGGGCAGCCTGACGGAGGGGGAGTTCAGTGTCAAGCCGTGCTTCACTCTGAAGCACCAGTCACGTTATCTAAAACAACCCCTGCTATTGAGAGACTTGGACCAAGAGACACTAGGTTTGGGTTGAGCACAGAGAAAGTGAAAGAAACATGACCGCTAAGTAATACGGAGAATGAAGCTGCTTTTACAGTTTATCACTTGAAAGTGTTTTCCCTAAATAAAGTCACTTATACCTCTGTAGAGACCTTCATTTATAAAGCCTGACTTGTTACTGTTAGGTTCAAGTAACTAACATTTCTTTTTTTCCTATCAAGGAAAATCCTCAGGATAGCATGTATCTCCAGTATTGTAAAGTCTGCCAAGCATACAAGGCACCTCGTTCACACCATTGCAGGAAGTGTAACAGGTGTGTGACTTTTCTGTTTACTGGGGACTGATCCACTTGGTTGCCAATAGAAACCATTTTTGTTCTCTGCACGGTGCCTCAGTTTGCTTCTCTTTTGCTGGATGTATTTGTCTCACAGGTCACAGGTCACAGGTCACAGGTCACAGTCCATTATCAAGGTTAAGCCACAACGGGAGCTTGAACCAGAAACTAGGGGATTCTGCCTACTGACTCGGCTCTACCTGGCTTACTTGCTACCATTTATAGACAGTTGAGGCCCAGCTGCCTAGAGGTGGTACTACCCACAGTGGGCCTTGCTCACTGAGAACCCTCTTCCCAGGTCTGTGTAGGTTTGGGACAAGCTAAAAGCAACCAACCAGAATAGCAAGGAATCCATTTTGTCAAAACTATCATCAAAAGACGTGCGTGTGCTCTCCTCTGCAGAGATATTGCAGGTAAAGGAGCTGCAGGTCCAGCAGTCTCGAAAATGAGAATCTGGGGATTCCTTCCAGACTAACATGGTTTGATGATGGAGGACCCCCTGAAACAGTGTCCCAGGTGATCCAACACTCAAAACAGCTGGGACAAGGCAGCCTTGCAGACCACTACAGCCAGGATTTCTGGGTCTTCTTAAGATTCCCCAAGACAGCACCCTCTAACAGCAGGAAGCAATTTGGAAAGAATGATGCCCAAATTCCCAAATATCATTTATAGATGTTTGCTTTCATTTAAATGGGGTTGGCTATAAATGGTCAATGATTACAACCAATTTCTTTTTAAAGGTAAAAGGGGATTATAGTATAGAAATGAATACTTTGTTTTGGAGTGGATTTTCATTTATTGATACAAGTTTAAGGTTAATTTTATGATATGTATATTTCTCCTCTTGTTAGATACTATGTTTGCATAGCTCATTTAAAAATGTAATGTATAATTAAGTACAAATTATAGATAGTTACCTATAATAGTCAAAACTTATAGTTAGGTTTGTTATGTTTTTATAGATATAGAGAGCTATATTTCAATTGGGTAGGCATTCTTCAAACCTGTCAAAGAGCTACAGAATATGGCATTTAAAATGGTTTAGGGTTTTTCTTAACAGTGAGACACAACTGCTCCTGGCAACACCAGCTGCGTCAGAAAGGAAGATGGACATCAAAGAAACTCATTATGGAATTTATTTCCAATGTGTCAAGACTAGCCATTTGGGCAAGATACTGCTCATGTCTGGACGTTTGACTTTATGCTGTATAAACTGGACATGCAGGACCCACAGAAAAGTGACTGCCGATACAAGATGGACATTGCTACAGGGTTCCTGCTTCATGGAAAAATCTGCCAGACATTCTGCAGGACACAGAGAAAAGTGATTGACAAACTGCCAATACAGGCAGACAGTTTGAAATTTCTTCCTTTGCTGAGGAGTCTGCCAGACACATTGTGCCATATGGGCCAAAGATGGAAGATTACAGAAGAACTGGGTGACTGACCAGGCAGTGTGTTGTCTCTATAGTTTATATATTACCCTTCTGTGGTCTTTGATGGAGTTGAAAACAGATAGTTATGGTTATATTTTTCTTTAGTTAAAATTAAAGGTAAGTTACATACAAGACTTCAGAATCACAAAGATAGAATAGATGATAGAATATTTTCTTTAGTTCTTGATGTTAATGGACTAAATATTGTAACTATAATTCTTGCTTAATAACTGTTTTGTTATATGTAATTTTACTATGTTAAAGTTAAAACGCTTGTTTTTAGACAGAGAAGAGGAGGTGATGGGGAATGTTCTTCTGTATATGTTTGTCTTATTGGTTGACAGATAAAACACTGATTGGCCAAGTAGGAAGTGACAACATATCATAGCACATACTTCCCCTAGCTAACCATAGAGATCTGGAGGTTTATACAGACAGGCAGGAAGTGATGTAGCTGGGCAGAATCAGAATATAAACAGGGACAAACAGGAAATCACTCTCTTCTCTGCAGGTATGTAGCAGGCAAAGGAGATGCAGGTCAGCCATTCCCAGTAAGCCAAGACCACGTGGAAACACTTAGATTAGTAGAAAAATGTGTTAATAGTTAAGAGCTAGCCGATAAGAAACCATAGTCAATGGCCAACAGTTTCATAATTAAAAAAAAAAAAAAAGACTTGTGTGTAAGACTTGTTCCCAACAAGTACCAACAAAGATAATTTCTTTCTGTTATAAGAAAGAGATTTTTCTAGAAAAATAGGTATTCCTTTGTAGACCGAGTTTCTTTCCCACCTGGTCCTGCCACCCTTCAGCCCCAAAGAAGCATGCAGAGACTTATATTAATTATAACCTGTTTGGCCGATGGCTCAGACTTCTTATTGGTTTATAACCCATTTCTATTAATCTAAGTATTCCCACATTGTTTCATCCTTCTGGAGAATTCTCCAGCATGTTCTGCTACATGGTGTCCCCAGAAGCTTCTTTCTGTCTTCCTCCTCCCAGAATTCTCCTTGTTTTGTAGCCCTGCTGTATTTCCTGCCCAGTTACTGGCCAATCAGTGTTTTATTCATCAACCAATAAGAGAAACATATACAGAAAGACATCCCCCATCATACCTTTGCCAAAGTAAAGATTTTCTTTTTAATTGTTCCATTTGCTGTTTCAGAATTTGTTGAGTGCCAAGTTGACTAGCTCAGAATTATTTTGAGTATAAATTAGACTGGTTTTCTCAGACTCATTCATAAGTGTTATCAAAAATTTAATGGGAAGAAAACTGCATCATTATAAAAATGCAAAGTACGCCAGTAGCTGGCTATCAGCAACATCTATTAATTAATGTGAAATTTAGGAAATCATGGGATACTCCTAAAGTCTGCCTTGTTGCTAGGAAGTTATCCTTCAGCAAAGAACACAAGCACTGTCATCTTCTGTGCTGAGCTTGTTTTACACACTGAGAGGAGGAAAGGGAGCTGCAGCTGTGTTTGGAGGGTTTTATAACCCTTCTGTAGACACTGGAACTGTATGACAGTCATGGTGTTTCTGAGCCTAAGGAGAAGGATAGCTGAGCTTCCTCCTTTGTACTGAGACTCCTGCAGAGCCTCCCAGCTTCTCTAAGAAATTGGTGGTGGTAGTGACTTTTTTTTGAGACAGGGTTTCTCTGAGTAGCACTGGCTGTCCTGGAACTCACTTTGTAGACCAGGCTGGCCTCGAACTCAGAGACCCACCAACCTCTGCCTCAGACGTGTTTAATTTAGAAGTTGTTGTAATATCTACTTGCTCTTCTGCTATTTAGAATTTTAAAGAAGTCGGTGTAACTTCAAAAGGCCATAAAGATTTACCTGTTTTATGAGAATTAACTCCCTGTGGTCTTTTGAAAAGCCAGAGCTAAAGGGCACAGGGTTTTCTGCTTTTCTGCTTCATGTGTGCCTTTCTTATTAGATGTGTGATGAAGATGGATCACCACTGTCCCTGGATCAACAACTGCTGTGGCCACCAGAACCATGCTTCCTTCACGCTGTTCCTCCTGCTGGCGCCTCTGGGCTGCATCCACGCTGCCTTTATTTTTGTGATGACTATGTACACACAGCTTTATAATCGGGTGAGTAGTCATCATGACACACTACCATTCCTGTCGGATTCAGTGACGTTTTCAAGGTTACTGAAGAGGGCCCTCTCGGAAATACACATTTTGTGATTTAGCTGCTACCACAGCTTTGCTTGACGTCTCTATCATTCCTCTTTTACAAAGCTCTTAAACTTGGAAATGAGGAAAAAGTGCTTTATTCTGGAAACTCATCTTTTATGTTTCAGTTGAAGTCTATGCTCACTGTTTTCCCTTATCTGTGGTTTATTACATTTCTAACTTAGCAGTTATGGTGAGTATAGTGAACAGAAAGAACTAGAAGAAATAGTGGTACTTTACTTTCTGTTCCATTCAGTGTCTCTGACAGATTGGCTCTCCTGTGTTCATTTGGTCCTTGGAACAAGCACACTTCTACAGTAAACACATTAAACCAGAAACAGTTGGAGTTGACTTTTGGACATTCGGTCATTAGAGAAAGTACAGAGGTTATACAAATGAAAAAAAAAAAAAAAATCTGTAAATAGGCTTGCAAGTAAGAGAGGGTGCACAGCAAACTGGAGAGCACATGATTTCAGCCAGTTTGTGTTTTGCAGTTAGTCCTAGTCCAAGCATTGCTAATCTTCCAGTATTAAGGAAGTAGGATTTTTTTTTTTTTTTTTTTTTTTTTTTTAAAGAAGGTAGAAAAGGAGAAGAATAAAAAGAAAGATTGTACCTTGGGACTTTTAAGTTATAAGTTCTTGCAAAACAAAAAAGAGAACAAAGGGAATTGGGATTTCACATGAGCTCTCAAGATTTTTAAATGTTAGCACCTAACTTCTAAGTTGTGATGACCCCCAACCATAAAGTTACTTCATTGTTGGTTACTTCATAACTGTAGTTTTGCTACTGCTGTGTATTGTAGTGTAAATATCTGATATTTAGACTATCTGATGTGCAACCTTCAAGGGGGCTTGAGACACATAGGTTGAGAGCCACTGTTTTAGAACACTGTACATCTGCAGGATCTGTTTGTCAACTTTTTACTAGCTCTTCACCACTGATTGTGGACTGAGCTGTGTCTGCTGCTGAGGAACAGTACTGTAATTTTAGGGTAGCAGGAGACAGTGGCTTAGTGTTGTTGTGTTGGTGTTCATAACTATTGGTGCTTAGGGTCGACCTCATGCTTCTGAGAAGGAAAACTGATACTGGAGAATAAGTAATGATGGAGCTGTGTGTGCACAGTTAACTAATGATTGACGGAGCTGTGTGTGCACAGTTAACTCATGACGGAGCTGTGTGTGCACAGTTAATAATGGAGCTGTGTGTGCACAGTTAACTCATGATGGAGCTGTGTGTGCACAGTTAACTAATGATGGAGCTGTGTGTGTGCACAGTTAACTAATGATGGAGCTGTGTGTGCACAGTTAACTAATGATGGAGCTGTGTGTGCACAGTTAACTAATGACGGAGCTGTGTGTGCACAGTTAACTAATGATTGACAGAGCTGTGTGTGTGCACAGTTAACTAATGATGGAGCTGTGTGTGCACAGTTAACTAATGATGGAGCTGTGTGTGCACAGTTAACTAATGATTGACAGAGCTGTGGGTGTGCACAGTTAACTAATGATGGAGCTGTGTGTGCACAGTTAACTCATGATGGAGCTGTGTGTGCACAGTTAACTAATGATTGACAGAGCTGTGGGTGTGCACAGTTAAATAATCATTGATGGAGCTGTGGGTGTACACAGCTCAGCAATACAGTTCTTGCCCAGCGTGTGCGAGGCCTTTGATTTTATTCCTTGCACTTAAAAAAAAAAAAAATACTGTATGTGTCATAGGAGTCAAGTGTTCATCAGAAACTGCTGTTTGGTGCGGTTGCTATCATTATTGTTACCTGTTTGGTCATGCTTTTCCCCCATGGGTAGTATACCGGTGTGTATGTGTCGAGCGCTATCGCCTTGCCTGCAAGAACAATGCTCAACAACAGGATTCTTCTGCAGCTATGTTTATTGCGTGGCTCATTACAGCAAGTTGAGGGAAGACTCCGAGGAGGAAAAAGGGCTCTGCTTATATATGCTCAGAGGAGTCGTGTCCGTTACTGACAGGTGCAGCCCGCAACGCTCGTAACGGTCACCCCATGACGTGGATCATGCATCCGCGCCTTGCTGGCTTATGGACAGGAAACCGGCGCCATCTTCGGGAATGGCACCGGTGGCTCTCTACATGTTTGCATATGCACATGTGGGGGGCCATGTAGGGGCCCATGTACATGGAGGTCCAAGACTGATAGCAGATGTCTTTCTTGATGGCTATCCACTTTGTTCATTGAGGCAGGTTCTCATAATTGAACTTAGAAATTGAGATAAGATCGGTGTGGCTACCCAAATTTCCCTGGGGATCCTCTGTGTTGGCCTTCTTGACACTGGATGTATAGCAGGGCCAGCATGCCCATGGAACGTTTATGTGGATGCTGGGGATCTGAACTCAGTCTTCATACTTACACAGCAAGCACATTATCCACTGAACAGTCACCCTAGATCTAGTAATATTGTGTAAATTGCCCTGACCCGAGGGGCAGTCAACGACGAACCAGGAAGCACCTAGGAAGGAATGGAGGACAAGGGATACAAGGAAGAACAGCAAGACAGGATTCTGATCAAGCTGACACATTGTATTTTCGAAAGGGAGGCTTACATAGGACCGTGGGCAGGATGTGAGCGGGGTTTGCTCGTGGCCAGGGCATGGGCGCTGGCACGTAGGCAGAGTGAGAACGTCGGTAGAAGGAAAGCCCTAAGTTGTTTAGCTAACCTGTAATTGGCTGTTAAACTGCAGCAGGAGAGATAGCCCTGAGCTATTCTTTAACTGGCTCTAAAAACGCAAGCCTGTACCTTGCTTGGAATGTTCTGCTGAACATTCTGCTTATTTCTTAAGAGGCAGTAACTTTCTGTCTCAGAGACCTGAGGTTGTGAGGAAGGTGATGGTCCCCAACAGTAAATGACTCTTTGAACAGCTTTGCCTCAACAAGCATTTCACGTGGGTGTTGTTATTGCTTGCAGCTCTCCTTTGGGTGGAACACAGTCAAGATTGACATGAGTATGGCCCGGAGAGATCCTCCCCCAATTGTTCCCTTCGGATTGGCTGCATTTGCTGCAACCTTGTTTGCCTTGGGATTAGCACTGGGGACAACCGTAGCTGTTGGGATGTTGTTTTTCATACAGGTAAAGTATTTGGCCACATCTGTGTCAGAGTTGCCGTGTGTGGGCTGATTGCAGTAAGGAAGGGATGAACCTGCATGTACAGTTGGAGTATGTGAGAGAGACGGCTTTGACTTATCTGTTGACATTAGTTAATCACCTGTGTGCAGTAAGTCACCTAGAAATAATTTTGGCAGAATTTCTAGCCATCAATTCGTGTGCTATGAACACACTGGTAGAAAGAAGTCTTAACAGCTGAGAGCCCCCCCCCCCCAGATGTTCATGACCTTCACGTCCCTCTAGTAGAGGTCCACAGAAGAATGCGCTGATCTTTCCTTCCATACAAGTAAATGAGTGGTTGGCAAAAAGCTTAAGAGATCACCTGTGGCCACCCATGCCTGTGCTTAGTAACAGTACTCGTTAATGAAAATGAAGAGGCTCTGAGGGAAAGCCTAGAGATTGGATTTTCTTTCCAAATCTTGTAAATTAAGAATTGTAATAGGTGTAAAATCTTATATGAACCATTCTTTAAATGGCTTTATTTAATCCAGGGCAGGCATAAGTTTTGTTAGCTACTTGAGTATCAGTGGGACAGAGGCTTCACTGTTTCAGAATACAAGCTACTGCCTTGGCTTTGAAAGTTGACTGTGCCCTACAGGGAGGCAGAGCATCACAGCAAGGGCTTGTGGGGAGGGAGCTGTTCACAGAGTGGTGGGCAAGAAGTGGGCTGTTGGGAGGGAGCCAGCTGGGATTCAGCTACGCTGACCACGCCTCCAGTGATCATATCATGCAGCTGGGCCAGAACTAGTTTCCAGAACCTCCTAATTAGTGCTGCCACCTGGGGACCAAGCATTCCAGGTGAACCTGTGGAGGATGCTTCTCATTCAGACCTTAACATGAGGAAAATGTGTAGGTTGACAGAAATGAGACACTCTTATATTGTGAATGATTAATCATAAATTTAAAGTTGCATCATACCTATATAAAAGAAAGCTGTGTGTGCCTGGCAGCCCAGTACTAGTGCTGAGTGGGACAGGTACATACCCCCTACACACACACTGTATGCACATGCATACACATATGTAATGGTAATAAATTGTAATAGCAAGTGTGTTTAAGAACTGATTAAACTATATTACTGTTTTGTTAATTATTGCGGTAAATAAGGATCAGGATAAACAAATAGGCCGAATAGATGTTTATTCAGGGAGAAATAACTTACAACCTAGACAGATGAACACCAGGAAATTCAACCCGATCCTCTCCTGTCCGAGTCACGCCAGAAAGAGCGCCTTCCTGGCCCCCTCCGACCTCCTTCCTCAGGTCACCTCCGCCCATCGCTCCACCCCCCAATGGGCGTGGTCAGTGCTACAGAAGGACTACCTCACTACAGTTAATACCTTGAAAATCATGGTACTTAAGGCATGAGTTCTAATACAGGTATTGGGTGTAGCTTTGCTTTGGATGGGGATGATGGGCGTAGAGATGCTATAGTGCACTAATTAAGAAGTACTACAGAGTAGGATAGGCTTCGTGCCAACTGCTACTTACCTCTGCCGTCTTTGGTGTTTTTATCTCTGAGGTAGAAAAATAAAAGCTATCTCAGAATTATTAGGATGGTAATGATCCAAAGTAAACTGAAGTCAGCCTTGTTAAATTTCACTGTCATTTCCTTTCTAGATAAAAATTATTCTCAGAAACAAAACTTCCATTGAATCATGGATTGAAGAGAAGGTAAATTTTAATAATTATTTCTTCGATCTAAAGTACTGATTACTAATTTAGTGAGTGCTAGAATATGAAAACTTGGGTCATTAACATGCCACATGACAGGTAAGCAAAGACAACATGTAGACTTCTTTCCACCGTGAGGAACTCCCACCAAAATGCCTCTTCACACCTTAGCTGCAGTTAGCTATCTCAAGCAGAAAGAGAGATAGCCCATTTGGAGAAGTTGGGCTGTAACATTGGTCCTGTCAGTCAGAATGCTTCCAATCTCATCTGTTCTCAGAAGCTAAGCAGGGCCAGCTGTGGTCAGTCCTTGGATGGGCAAAACAATGGTGTAGTGAAACACCAGCACCATACAACTGTCCAGCCCATTGCACCCGGCCTGGATCCTAACTCACAGCCGCAGTTCCCAAACCCTGTTGTCTCAGGTCAGCTCACGCTCTCCAGTTCACACACTCACATTGCCAGCTTCACTAAAGAGCTCATGGCTCAATGCTAATTGACATATTTTCTAAGTGAAAAATTCAAAGACCGTCCACTCTGTTGACATAGCATTTTGTAAAAGGTAATTATATTTGACAACCAAAAATAGAAGGAGTGGCCTTGTTTTAAAGATTTACAAATCTCTTTAATAGCTGACTAATAGACAGTTGGGATCTCACTCCTTTCTCATTCATTCTGTTGAAACATTACTTTGGCTGACATTTATGAATAAAATCCACCTTGGTACAGAGAAGTAGGTAGAGAAGATTGGAGGACTTTGAAGGACACTTTAGAGTATAATAGACATTCTTCGACTTTACATTAAAACTTGGCTGAAACTCAGAATCTCAGATTTGCTTAGCATGGAGTCTGCCATTGAGCCTCACCCCAGATCAACAGAGAGCATCTGTCAGTAACCTTTTTGTACTCTTTTATATTTAATTATTTATAAATGACATGTAAAAGTTTTTATTAAAACAGAAACATCTTTGAACATGGGCACGCTGTCAGAGTCATAGCAGGGAACGCAAGTTTTCCAAGAATCCTTAATTTCACTTGCAAGCCCAAATTTTCTTCATCTGGCTGTAAATGCCTACAGTCATGTACCTGCCGCGGCGTTAGTCTGACTTTACCTTTGAAAACATCACCACCCAAGTTCTGCTCCTCTAGACCTCTGCCTAATGCACTAAGTAGTTGTTAGATGTATCATTTAGGGAATAAAGACAAGAAAATGATGTGTACATGATCTGTGCACGTGCAATTTTCATTTTAATTTTTTTGTATTTTTGAGATTTTTGTATTTTGGTCTCATTACATTGCAGACCTGCCTCAACCTCCAGAGTTGTGGGGTCATAGGTATACACCCTCATGTCTGCCTCATGTGAATTTATTTCTCCCCATCCATGATTGATTGAATCCAAGATTCTAGAATCTGAACACAGGTTGAGTTCATTTGCAAACAATGTGGTAACGGACACAGGGCTGTGCCACTGTCTTTTGAGTTCCTGGCACTTTCACCACCATTGCCAGTGTCAGCAAAGTGAAAAAGTAGATAATGTCTCAGTGTTATGAGAGGTTTGTCCTTCCTGAGCCCAGAGAAGAGGGCTGAGGACAGGTTCCTTTCCGCCTCGCGTAGGCACTCATCCAGCCTGCTTCCTGCCCACTGCCCGCCTCACCCTCATCGCTTGTCCATCTTACTCTGCATCTTCCCGTGGTTTCTCCCTGACTTTCTGCTCCTCAAGGTACAGTTTAGGTATCATTTCTTTCAAGAAGCCTTCCTTTACCCTCAATCTGGCTAAGCACTATTTGCTGCCTTTTCCCCTGAGAACACCATGTACCTGTTTCCTTTTTTTTTTTTTTTTTTTTTTTTTTTGCTTCCTCAAAAGCAGCTTCTAAGTTTCAATATTGGGTTTTGAAATCAGCCTATTTTTATTATTAAAAGTCTGATGTTGTCATTTGGCAAGGCCGATGATCTAGTGCTGAGCTGCACTGCAGACACCTAAAGCTTTCATTTATGAAAAGGGGAATTACCCTCTGTCATTCGGGTCAACATGGATTTATAAAATTCAGTACATTCATATCATAGTTTGACAGTTGTTTCAACAAATAGCATAAATGTGTTGAAATAAAGGGTTTTTTGTTTGTTTTGTTTTGCTAATGACCATGGCCCTGTATTAAACCATGTTAATATAAAAATTGTTTAAATGGGTGCTTTATCATAGATAAAGCTTCAAATAAGGAAATAAAATTCATCAAAAATGTGTAAGATTACCAACACTGGTGTTGAATGTGTACAGGAGCTACACTTGGAATTAAATAATGCATGCTTGTACCACTAGGTGGCAGTAGAATGTAACAAATTCAAAGGTAGTTTATTTCAGCTAGCCATTTAAATGCCAAGAATATGAGCTGCACCATGAGAATAAGCGTGTGTGAATAAAGATGAAGTATATGTGTTTGTGATGGTATAAAAACATGAAATATCCTTCACAAACTTTGCAAAATGTTTTTTGTAAACCAGTACCTCCCTACTCACCCTTCCTCGCCATTGCAGACCATACCCCACACTTCCCCTGAGTCGGTTGACAGCATCACTTCTCTTTACCTGTGCTCTCTTGGGCTGCTAAGCGACCGGGAGCACTGAGAGTTTTCTGCATAGGCTACAGTTAGCTAACTATTTATACGCCTCCTTCTGAATGCTTGTTCCTAAGACACACCCTGTCGTGTGCTCTCTTGGATATCACAAACAAGGTTAGTATTTTCAGTCAGATCCTTGCTGTGCCATGGTAAATTCATATTCTCTGTCAACACTACTAATATTTTAGCAATAAGAAAGTGTTTTATGAATAATACAAATTTCACAAGTGAGTATTCTCAGTAACTTATTAACAAAAGTTATTGCAGGCAGAAGCAGCTGTCAACTTTATACCTTTGTCTTCCACAGGCTAAAGATCGGATTCAGTATTACCAACTGGAAGAAATCTTCATTTTTCCTTATGATATGGGAAGTAAATGGGAGAATTTTAAACAGGTATTCACATGGTCAGGAGTCCCTGAAGGAGATGGACTGGAGTGGCCGATAAGAGAAGGCTGTCACCGATACAGCCTAACAGTGAGTAGTTTTGTTTAGAAGACCTTCCTTTTTCTTGGTGGTCCGTTTGTTAACCCACTCAACTTCCTGAGACTTCCCAGTCACACAGCAGTATGTGCATTTCCAGTATGTCAGAACGAGCCTAATGTAAATGATTACCTAAATTGTTCCACTCTAATAAATACTCAGGAGTCAGGAATTAAAGTCCTGATAGATCCAAGAGAAGCAGAGGGTCGATTGGCTGACCCTCTCCCCATGTTTTTCCCAGTCCACTAGCCAGGGAAAGTCTCCTTTCTGCCTGCCCTTCTACAAGTCTTCCTGAATCCTCTAAGAACTCTGGCTAACCCTGGTCAGCCAGTCACTGACTCCATCCTTTGATTTGAGGTAGCTTTACTGGTACAGTGGGTTGGCTGTATGAAGAGTTTTCCTGCAACACTAACATCCATAGAGAGTTTTAGTATCATGGCCTCAGCTCTCCTGAACACTCTGGGCTGGTGTAAAGTCCTTACTCTGTAACTCTGCTTTATACGGTCTGGCCTTTATCTTCCATTTGTCCTGCGTTGCCACATGAACTCAAGGTTCGTCCGCAGCTCTCAACTCTGCCCCTCAGTTGTCTCTCTCAGCTGTCTAACTTTCTCCAGCAAGTTCCTTCCTTACTGGACAGTAGACACATGCCAGTCTTGTGTAATGAAATTTTGCTACTTTAAATGGGTAAGAAGCTCGGTTAGCTCAGTTGGTAGAGCATAAGACTCATAATCTCAGGGATATGGGTTTGTGCTCCACATTGGAAGGCAAATATCAATGGAGTTATTAAATGGTATAACTAATAAAAACACAGGGGAAATGCTGAGAGATCTAAGAGAACATGGAGCAAGCCACAGCCACAACTTACCTCTTTAGTGTCTCCACAGACAAGAGCGAATTCCTGTTTCTGCCCACTTATATCTTCTCTCCACCCAGCCATCTCACTTCCCTTCTCCGCCCAGCCATCTCACTTCCCGTCTCCGCCCAGCCATCTCACTTCCCGTCTCCGCCCAGCCATCACACTTCCCGTCTGCCTGTACAGACCTCCCAACCTCTGTGGTTAGCTGGTGGCATGCTCCATTCTCTGACCTTCAGGCTTATTTGTACAAGTGAGATACCACCACAGTTTTGTATGTAACTCATAGAATCTTCTTTTCTTTTTTCTCTTTTATCTTTAATGTGATTCTAGAACAGAGACCATATTTCCCTGGCTGTGTCTAATACAGTTCTAGTTGCTGATTAAAGGGGAAAGTAGCAAGAATTATGTAGTCGAGACTCATTAATAATGAGTTTGTCCATTAGAAAGAGTTTTTCCATTAGAAAAGTCAGTAAGACTCAGCCTAGAAACTTTGCAGGAGCAGAGACTGTGCCTCCCTAATTCTGGTGCCATGTGAGCACTTGAGGGACATGGAGAGGTGGAGAAGTCTCTGGAGAGCAGATTCTGAGGCTGCAGCTCAGCAAATACAGAACACCAGAACCCGGGATGCCTGGCGGAAGGGGAGGCTGCTCATCACTGAGGCAGATGACCAAACCTGTCCCTTTTCTTTCAAACAGGTAGAACAGTTGAAACAGAAAGCAGACAAGCGAGTGAGAAGTGTAAGTGGCGTGTTTGCAGTGGTGCCGATTCGTGTTTTCTCCTGCCAGTACTGTTTCTGTATGTCTTAAACAGTTGCCTTTTATTAAATATATTCCTTTTTATTATGTTTATTGTTTATATTATATATGCTTATGCAGCGCAGAGCCTTGTGGGAGTCTGTTTCCCCATGTGGGCTCCAGGGATCTCCTTGCTTTTGTTGGAATTTGGTACAATTCACTCCTTTTGAGACAGTCACATTATCTACCCCTGACTGGTCTTAAACCCGGAGATCTGCTTTCCTCTGCCTCTGGAGAGCTGGGATCAAAGGTGTGTCGTGCCATGCCCGGCACATACCGTTACCTTTAGTTTTCTTTAAAATACTTCATTTTAGCCGGAGGTTTCCACGGCATTTAGGCGTTGTGTATTGCCACCCTAGGAAAATGCCTTTAGTACAGCCAATGGAACCACTTAGCAAGAACACTGACAGGTAGAGATGATGCCACCTGTGGCTGAAGAAGTCTAAATTAAAGATAAATACAGTGGAAATTAAGTTTCTGTTTGTAGTGGCCACCCTGAACACTCTGTAGCTACAAATCTCTACCCAACAACCTATTCCAGACCACAGACAGACGTGCAGGCACTTCCATTAATACAGACCACACGTGACAGAGACGTGCAGGCACTTCTGCCACTGCAGAAATGTTTCCTGGACACAGCACTCTGGAGGTCACATGCTTAGCAGATGTGTGCTTGAAATGACAGATCAGACAGCCTGAGAACAAGCATCATAATTCCCTTCCGGGAAATGGGAAATGGTGGAAAAAAATGTTCTATCACTGAGAATTTGGTGGTCTTTAAAAAATTTATTTTTTTTTTGCTTGAAAGAACTCCTATATGGTAAATATTGAGATTGTTCTTGTGACCACTGATTGCAGGTTCGCTATAAAGTCATAGAAGATTATAATGGTGCCTGTTGTCCTTTGAATAGAGGAATTAAAACCTTCTTTACAAGCCCCTGCACAGAGGAACCTCGGATACAGCTGCAGAAAGGGGAGCTCATTTTAGCAACAAGAGGGTTACGGTAAGAGGTGGGAATGTTACATTTCCTTAATAGGAAATGGGACGTGAACTTCAAAAGTAATTTCATCTTTTAAATATTTCAGATACTGGTTGTATGGAGACAAAATTCTCGATGATTGCTTCATAGAAGGTATGGAGGTGGGAAGGTGTGCTTAAATTATGTGACTTAACAATACCTTCAAACAATGTAATCACATGTAAAGTGCATTAGGAAACTGTATAGATATACAAGCATGCTTCTTAGACATCTCTCTGCAGTACTGTGTCTGTCTGATCTTTACGGTAATAGCTAGCATCCAAGTCCTTATGCGACTATATGGCAAACACTGAGTCCCCAGTAGGCACCTATGGGTAATAGAACAGATTAGAAGACAAGTGGATATGACCCAGTGAGAAGGGTCAAGATAAAAACATTAGACCCTATTCTTAGAAGAGAAACATCTAGAGAAGGAGGAAGCCTATGTCCTATCGTCTCTGCAAAGAGGCAACCAAGCCAGTGCCTGTTTGCAACGTGTGTTCACAGTGAGCCCAGCCAACAGCTTCCTTGAAAGTGCTGTCCCCTCCTGGCCTGGGATCTATGTGGGGGATGAGCTGGAGAGATAGCCAGGATATGGCAGGCTGTGGAGGCAGGAGTCTGGCACATGAGTTTGAAATTGTGATTCTTTGTTGGCACCCAGAGCTAGTGAATGAGAAGCGTAGTCTTGCCACTGCATTGAGTCAGTGCCTTCCAGCAGGCATGCCAAGAAAAAAAGAACGCCACACTTGCCCAGAGCCTCATCATAGAAAACCTTGCACATGGGAAGAACCAGTTCCGGGGGTCGAGGGAAGTTGTCTCAGAACTGGAGATTCCAGCAGGAAGTGAGCTTCCCCACAGAAATGGCCCTCATCAGGAAGAAAACATTGAATTTGTTTGAAATTTTGAGGCTAGAAGCCTTGCCCCCTTCCTGCATAGACTGCTGCTCTAAAGATAGCGAGAAGGAACTGTTGGCCAAGGCCGCAATGCCTTGTTTCATTCTACTTTATCATTTTATGTGTGGTTTTATCCCTCCTTTTGTTATTGTTCCATTGTCTGTCAGCTGTGTCCTGTCTGAACAGGGTTTTATGGTCCTCAGTGTCCCTGCTGTTTCTCTTACCTCTAGAGCAAATCCCTCCCATCTCATTCCTATCTTCCTCCTCCCTCCATCCCCTCCATCCCCTACTCATTCCTTTGGGAAGTCCCGTTTTCCCCATGCAGAACCCCAGCTGCTGACTCGGGCCCCAGCAGGGACACAATGGAAGTCAACATGTGTCTTCCCAGTGTAGGTCACAGCAGAACTGCTGCCTTTACAGCTGTCCCTAAAGTGAAGACCCTGACTGGAAAGTAAACACCAGAGGGCACCTTAGTCCCAGCAGGTGCACAAACAAACACAGTTTGAAAAGCATCAGACAACTGCCATTAGGACAGCAGCCCAAGCTTACAGCTCCTCAGTACCAGAGACCCGAACTAAGGCGCTAGGGGAGGGATTTCAGAGCTCTGCTTCCGTAATGTATCACTGACCTCGTGAAGACTCAACAGAGGTGAAGGAAGGCAGTAAAGCAGCCAGCTCAGAACCTACACAAGAAAGTTACCCAATGAACAGTCATTTGTCAGAGAATTGAAAAGTGCAGGGAAAAGTCAGTAAGTAATTGAGACGCTGACAAAAAACAGACAGAAATGCAGGAAATGAAAGATCCAATAAAAAAAAAAAAAAAAAAAAAACCACCCAGCAAACAAAACAGTAGAAAGGAAGAATCAGCAGAGGCCAGGCAGAGAACATCTGTTAGGGACAGATGACTTCAGATAGAAGCACACAAACATACACAAAACAAAACAGCAAGGCAAAAACTTCCAGGGTAAACTAAACCTAAGAATTACAGGCTAGAAGAAGATAGTCTAATGTCACAGGCAGTTTAGTCAGTGAAATTGGAAAGTTTCATAAAATAGACGAAGAAATTGACATCGGAGCACAAGATGCATGTAGAACCCTAAATAGTCATGGCCAGAGATCTCAGTCAAGATATCAGAAATGCAGAGCAAAAACAGCTACGAAGAGAATGGCAAGGTCAGACCTGTAAAGTAACATCAAGCCTCTTGTCAGTGACAATGAAAACCAAGAGTTTTGGAATGGCATATGCCAAGCACTGAAAATTAATAACTGCTAGCAAATCTGGGGGATATGGAGACCAGGGAGCCTTTGTTCACTGCTGTTGGGAGTGTAGTCTGCTACAGCCCCCTGGACAATCAGTGTAGAGGTTTCTAAAATACTAAAAGTAGAACTTCTGTATTACTCGGGTGAGCCGATCTATAGTATACCCTTAAATCACTCGGGTGAGCTGATCTATAGTATACCCTTAAATGACTTGGTCTCCACCACATAGACACCTTCACACAAGTTTATTGCTAAATCGTTCACAGTAGCTAAGGAACAGAACCAGCCTAGATGCCTGCTGACAGATGAGTAGGAAAAGAAAATACAGCATATACACAGTCGAATTTTATTCATCTATAAAGAAATGTGAAATGTCATTTCCAAGAAAATAGATGTGAATGAAATTCATTGTTAAGTAAAATAAGCCACACTTGAACAAGTAACTACAACTTTTTAAAAACATATATATATAGATTCTAGAGAGTGGCTTAGGTTATGTTTAAACTAGAAATGGGAAAACTAATTTTAATAATATATCTTTATTTTTGTATAAATTGGTGTTTTGTCTACATGTATGTCTGTAAGGGCATCTGGTCCCACACACACACAAACAACTGGACTTACAGACATTTGTGAGCTGCCATGAGGGTGCTGGGAATTGAACTCCGGTCCTCTGGGAAAGCAGTTGGTGCTCCTAACTGCCGAGCCATTTCTCCAGCCCCGAAAATGACTTAAAAGACCTGATTGGATACAGACATGTGAGGCATGGAAACAGGGCTATCGTTAGGAGGGACCAGTGAGAGTTGGGAGGGAGACGGCCGAGGGGATGGGGGAGATAACCATTGAAATAAAGTCTATAAAGCTGCTGGGAAGAAACTCATTACTTTCTATGCTAATTTTAAACATTAATCAAAAGTCCTGGCAGATGTCTTAGACAGGAGCTGCCCTTCAGTGAGGGAAGAGAAGCACAGGGACACTAAGCAAAAGCAGCTTGCTCACAGCCCAGTGCAGACCAGATCTGACGAGTCGGGCTCCAGACACCCACCCCGTGCCGGATCTGCATCCCCTTTAAGGGAGAATTCCAGAATTACTCCCTTATCAAGTACAGATTAACCTAGGATCTTCTTAAAGAAAGAAAGTACTTGGGATTAATCATAAGTTAACCCTATGTGACGGACAGCTAGGGTGATCTTGGTGTAGAAATTGATATGAAGGCAAATGCCTATAATCCCAGTATTCAGGGGGATCATAGTTTCTAGCCTAGCCTGGGCTACATAGCAAAACTCTCCCAAAAAAGAAAAAGAAGGGAATGTATAAAGGCTATGGGAAGATCATCTCTGGAGTACAATGTAATGGCATGTCAGAACAATCACGCATATATTAAGTGACCCCAGTTCAGTAATGCACTCTCTAAAGCACACTAGCTCCTTTCCCAGTTAATGGCGTTTGGGGAACGTATTTCCTAGCTTGGCAGAAGCATTTGGAAGCCATGCTTTCCCTGACCTGTGTTTGAGACCTGATGTGGAAACCACGGAGTGTCTGAGTCTATCCTCATGTGAAGTAGTAGGACTGGCCCCCAGTGTCGGCACCTCTTGCTGCTTGCCTGCTTCACCGTGCCATCACTTTCTCCCTCAGGCACTTCCAGAATAAGAGGGTGGTTCCCTAGAAACTGTGTGGAAAAGTGTCCCTGTGATGGTGAGTCAGACGCAGCCCCGGAGGGCGAGAAGAAGAACAGATAGCCACTGTTAAAATGAGACCATTGAATCTTCATTACTTGAAAATCGCACGTTACCCAAGAATTATGCAACGAGTCTACTCTGCTTAAGGCCTCCTTTTCCTCAAAGATGTTCCAGTGCCATGAACTAAGGATTTTGATTACCCTGTGAAACAGAAGCCATTCTGCATATGCCTTTGAATCCCTGTCGTCCTTCCTCTTCCTCCTGAAGGGGAGTCGTTGGCCAATGAGCAGATTGCACTTGTTAGGTTTCTGTGTGCCGCACACCTGACCTCACCTGCAGGTCTAGTTCCCCTGACCAGGAGTGTCCGCATGTGGTGGTCATTCTGTTTCTTCCTCGGTTGACTTTTCTTCATAATCTAGAGACTATAAAACTTGCCAGATTCAATATAAACTCAACTTTTGTTACTTTTAATAATGCAGATTTTATCAAATCCAATAAAAGTCAATGGATGTTATGTAAAAAATACAGTTTTCACTCAAAAGTGCATTTTGTTTTTTTGTTTTGTTTGTTTTGAGTAAAAAAAATTATATCTGCATGGAGACACTGCCCTGCTACCATGGGCAGACTTGGCATCTTGAATCCTGAGTCTTAAGATGTGACATATTCAGTTCAATATGTGAGCTCTGTTATTGATGGATTGATTTAACGGCTTTACAGCTTGTGAGAGTCATTAGACACTGCTCGTGTCTAATATCAAAACCTGAAGTTTGTGCAGATACTAGGATCTAAGCATAAAGGTGAGCTTGTCAAAACAGTGAGTGGAGTTACAGGGGAAGCCTACTTCTCTGCGCTTGAGTAAACTGATTGAGCATTCCTTAAGTCTTTGCACTGGGGGGACTTGAGGCTTCCGGGGCCACTGTAGTAGGTAAGAGTTAGAAATGGGTGCTTGGGGACTCGGCAGTGGAGCAAGTGTGGCTTGTACTCCATTGCAGGGGCAGCGGGTGAACAAAGTGTCAGGTACAGTCATTTCTGAAGGCAGGATGGTCTTGTGTTGACAAAGCAGATAAGAAGAGCCAGTCATTCCTGTGGAAGTGGCAGCATTTGAAACAGAAACAGCAAGAACTCACTGCAGTGGGCCTGGCATGCCTGAAGATCAGTGAGGCAGCCATTGAGGTCAGATGAACAGGGGCAAACTGAGATGGGAGTCAGAGCTGAGAAGGCTCCAGACCCCCAAGGTCCCTACAAGGTAGTCCTGCCTTCCCTTTGTTTCAAGGACAGATGTATTAAAAAGGAAAAAAAAAAAAACCTTGAGTATTCTAAGTTCCAGTTAGAAGCCAGAACAGAGTAGATGTTAAGACTATAGTACAGCAGCCAGACCTGGTGGCACATACCTTTAATCTCAGCACTGCAGAGGCTGGTGGAGCTGAGTAATAGGCCAGCCTGGTCTGCGTAGAAAGTTACAGGCTAGTCAGGGCTATAATGAGACCCTATCTTAAAAAAAAAAAAAAAGAGAGCCATACACCAAAATAAAGGAAACAACGTGGGCATGCTTAGAGTGTAAGCCTGCCTTACAGGCTTATTACCCTGAGCTGTGATAGGACCAGAGGTGCAGGCTGTCAGTTTACCTGAGTTTGCTGCATGCTAGACTCGTCTGAGGACCTTGTAACAATCCCAGGCAATGTTTATTGAATTTTGAGACAGAGTCTCACTACATAGCTCAAACTAGCCTCAGACTTGCAACAATCATGCCTTGGCCTCCTGAGTGTCCTCATTGTGGGTATGTGTCGCCACATCTGGCTACAAAGTTTTGTAACTCAGGGACCCCAGAGAAGTGCCGAGTCATGATACCACTTTTCAAGTCGAGTGATTCTACTGTACATCCGATTTTTCTCCGAGTCTTGTTTAAGACTGAATCTCATCACAATCCACACGATAGCAGGCACAACATAAATATCAGCAATAGTTTATTTCAAAGATTTGACATTTACAAGTAGAGGCACCACATTCTGTCTGGCAGTAAGATACTGCAGGAATTGGGAGTCCAGGGGAAAAATCCAGAAGTCCCATTCACAGAAGACAGGCCAGCAGTGCACGCTTTGCGCTTGCCCACAGACCTTTGCTCCCAGTGCGGGAAAGTAGCTCATTGCTTGCCCCATTTACTGGAAAAGTTCACTGGACATAAGTTTCTGTCTCTTCTTCCACAGCTTTTGGCTCAGCAAACTGTAAGGAACAGACTGTAAGTATCAGAAGCTGCCGCTGCAGATAACATTTTAAAACAGCATTCTCTTTGGACGCACTATCTACTATGTTTAATAAATTCCCAACGCAGAAGTCTGTCTAGGAAAGCAACACTTTGCTATTCTACCTTGTCCCTTCATTGCATAAACATTGACGTACACAGAAGTGTGTAGACGTTTGTCTCATAAATAGGATTAGTATAGGCGGCAGGTTAAAACTCAAATTAGTAGTTTTATGGAGTAACTGAAAAATATGAATTATAAATTAAAAGTCTCTTGATCTGTTAGAGCAGCAATTCTCAACCTGTTGATCGCAATTGCCTTGGAGGTCTCATATCAGACATCTACATTACAGTTCGTAACAGTAGCGCTACTACACTTATGAAGTAGCGATGGCATTTATGGTTGGGTTCACCACGGCTTGAGGGTGTACTGAAGAGTGACCGCTTGTGCTTAGCACTTGTGGGAGTGCTGAGCCGCTGGCAAGCAGGGGCTTTATAAAACAAGGCAGCTACCTAGAGGAACCCTGGGACCCTAGAACTAGTGATGGGTAATCAAGACGGCCCTGCGATGGCGATCTTGAGCAGTAACACTGGACAAAAACTGGGGCCCTGCAGGACGGCATGTGGATAAAGCAGCCCGAAGGCCTAAAATGTCAGCAAAGTCTAAGCAGGGACATGTGGGCTTTTATTCTCGCCTGTATCTTACACTCTGATAGTTCAGTAGATAACAGGTATGAGGAAAAGGCAAACGAGGGCTAGGTCCGATTGCATGCTTTGGCTTCCTGGAGCCCTTCAGCAGCCGGTACCTTACCCTACTCCTGGACACTCTCATAGAGGCTCTTGATCTGGGTCTGGAAGAATTTGGCGAGCTCCACTCGTTTGGCTTTCAGGGTTGGCGTCAAAAGCCCGTTTTCAATGGAGAACGGCTCTGGATGCACAAAGATGCTTTTCACCTGGAAGGTGGGCACACGTTGATTGCTGGCATTTCACCTGCAAAGTGCCCCCAACTCCTCCATGACAAACTGCAACGTTTGTTTCACTTTATGAGAGTAAAAACGCAGACCCATGTCCTTTCCACGATACGGCCTTCTGTAGTCCAGGCTGAACTCTGTATAGCTGAGATTGACCCAGAACTTCTGACCCTCCTTCCCCATCTGAACAGTGCCGAGGTTACCAGTATCCCCCATCATGTACCATTAATGCAGCACTGGAGATTAACCCATGCATGCTAGGTGAGCAGGAAGAAGGAATAATGGATGGACAGCAAAGGGGGACAAAATACATAACAATAAACCACTTTTTTTTAAGTAAATCTAAAATGTAAATTCCTTGTAAGTTAAAAGGCTTGAAACCAGTATAAGTGGAAGCTTTAAACTCTCTAGTGGCACTTGTGAGACCAGGAGGACATCAACAATACAAACCTGTTCAAAGGATTTCAGGCCACCTTCTTTCCCAATTTTCTGCAAGTCTTCTAAAATAGCTTCTTTTACACTCTAAAATGGAAAACATCACTTAGAGCAGGCATGTCTGAGGAGTTTTAAATGGAAGGCTAGGCAAGAACTAACTGGCAATGCCTAAAAGATTTGGATAAAATTGAGATGCGGAAAAAGTGTATTAAAGCTGGTCATGTACTTTGCATTTACCAAAGGAAAGGGAACAGGAAAGACTGACCCACAGGCTAACAGGTGCTGTCTATATGGCAGTTTTCCGTCTGCATACTCCATTTCCTCTCACAAGCAGCACATTACTGCTTAAAAACAAAACAGGACACAGCATTTTGTGTTTTAAACTGTCCATTCTGTTTCTCAGTCTAGTAAGACTATTAAGTCCATCTAGGGTGCAGTTACCTGTCACAGAAGCAGGAAGAGTCCCGTCCCCCCCAGAGAGGAGGCTCAGAGAACCCAGAGTTGCCACGGCAGGCCATGAGGACTCCCAACGCCCATGCTTATTCAGTAAACAGAGGTTCCCAGTCAGGCTACATGGCAAAGGTTCTCAATCATGCTTATATGGGGAACGTTCTCAGTCAGGGTTACTTCGACAACATTTTGAGGCATGCTTACTTGGTTTTGGCACAGTTCCTCGAAGGAACCCTTCACCCCGATCTTGGCTGCAAATGAGGGAAGTGAATCTGGGTCAGGGACCACTACTCCTACCAGGAACGACTGTGGGAAGGAATATGGATTATTGTAACAGGTCAGACGTCCCGACCGATCTGGTACCCAGTTTCCCCCACCGTGTATTCTCCCACTCGGCACTCACTACACAGATGTTCTAACCACACCTGATTCTTCAAAGAGCTTTCCCAACCCCTACAAAACCAGGTCCAAGTGCAGTATGTGAAGGACACTTCTGTGTCAGAGGAGCTCCTCAGAGTGGACACCAAGGGTCCCAAACACAAAGTCGGGTGAGATAGAGGCCACCTCTGAAAATAGTTGTTTTCATAATCCCAAGAAATGATTTGATGGATGTTAATGACTCAGAGTGTAGTTAAGTGGCAGTAAGCTGGGGTGTCTTATCTGGACCCAGCTGCCCAAATGTCCTATGACTGACTATGAGAACCAACATAGGCCATCCCTGAAACTGGTGTGTTACCCGTAAGCTCTCCCCATGGATAAAAACTTGCAATACTGGTCTGCTCCTGGTGTAAACATTTTCTATCTTCTCTGGAGCAATGTACTCTCCTTGTGCCAACTTGAAGATATTCTTCTTCCGGTCGATAATCTTCAGAGTTCCATTCTGTACGAGGCAGATAAAAGCATCTGTGTGAGAGCCTTAGAGATGGTGTCAGCAGCAAGGTGGGAAAGCCACAGGTACTGTCCTTATTTACAATGGTTACTCTGTAGCAATGTGGGAAAGCCACAGGTACTGTCCTTATTTAAAATGGTTACTCTGTAGCAATGTGGGAAAGCCACAGGTACTGTCCTTATTTAAAATGGTTACTCTGTAGCAATGTGGGAAAGCCACAGGTACTGTCCTTATTTAAAACTGTTACTCTGTAGCAATGTGGGAAAGCCACGGGTACTGTCCTTATTTACAATGGTTACTCTGTAGCAATGTGAGAAAGCCACAGGTACTGTCCTTATTTAAAATGGTTACTCTGTAGCAATGTGGGAAAGCCACAGGTACTGTCCTTATTTACAATGGTTACTCTGTAGCAATGTGGGAAAGCCACAGGTACTGTCCTTATTTAAAATGGTTACTCTGTAGCAATGTGGGAAAGCCACAGGTACTGTCCTTATTTAAAATGGTTACTCTGGAGATTTCTGCTGTTTCTCTTTCTTGACTTTGGGGAAATGAGTAGTGACTGTCTACAGAAAGCCAACCAGCAAGCCTCAGGGGGAGTCCCAGAGGCCAGCGGGGTTATGCAAATGGCTGCCTCATTCAGTGAACACATTCTGCAGCTCTCCATTTCCAGTAGCTTATTTCCAACTGCACCTCAAGAACTCTGAGAAATGGAGGCGTTATCTTTTACTAAATTGCTGAAGGATCTTGCTCTCACGGCCATGTTTACTTCATGTTAAATTCCAGGAGCAGGCTAAAACAGCTGCGTGCTACTGACCAAGCCAGCCAGTGATCGGGCTTGTTAGCACAGAAGTAGGGCTGGCAGGGCTCTGGCCACCATCACTGGTCATTTGCTGCCTCATTTTCCTGACTTAATTTCTCTGGGAAGCTTATCGTCTTAGGGATTTGAATTGTAGAATTGGGACAAGGGGCAAACACAATCCACAAGGCCACACCAAAGTAGGGCTCTCTACTGAACAAATCGTGGAACAATCAATGAGCCAGACTCAGCAATTCAACTGAAAGTGATTAATTAATAATAAGCAGCCTTTTATCACCCACGTGGGGAGCCATATCTATTGCTTGCATCCTAGACTTAGAGCCTGGGACTGATTAAACAGAAATACATTAAACCTAAACACCTAAGTGTATCATGGAGACTGTGTTCTTGGGAATCTTCGTAGTCAAGTGTTCTGCATAGTCAAGCATTCTGAATTTCTCTTAAATCTTGAATAATGAGCAAGAAGTTGTTTGAGCTGCATAGTGATGTCACACACCTCTAATCCCAGCACTTGGGAGGCAGAGGCAGGTGGATCTCTGTGAGTTCAAGGCCAGCCTGCTCTACAAGGGCTAGTTCCAGGACAGGTAGGTCTACACAGAGAAACCTGTCTCAAAAAGCAAAACGAAAAAACAAAACAAAAAAAAGGTGTTTGAAGAAATAGTTATAGCCCCATTCCCCTAACTCTTAGTAGATAAAGAAAACAAGGAAAGAGACCCCTGGAAAATTCCCCTGTAGGAGTTTTGAGAAAACATGAGATTGGCAGCAACTACTGCCAATTGTTCATCAGGAAGCTATAAAACAGTCTCTGTGTCTGCCACAGAGAGGGCTGAAGGTCAGTGAGAGGCAGACATTAGCCTGATGCCGGATAATGTTCTCGTTCACTGTAACACATATTGGTTTAATAAAATGCTGATGGGCCGGTAGCCAGGCAGGAAGGATAGGCAGGGCTACCAGATAGGAGAATTCTGGAAAGAGGGAAGACAGGGATGCAGTCGCCAGCCTGATGCAAAGGAAGTAAGATGAGAAGGCCATACTGAGAAAAGGTACCACGCTACCTGGCTAAGCATAGATAAGAACTATGGGCTAATTTAAGTTGTAAGAGTTGGTTAGTAATAAGCCTGTGCAATAGGCCAGACAGTTTATAATTGTTTACACATACATATATATACACACACATAAGCCTCTGTGTGTTTAATTGGCACTAAACGGCGGCAGGACCTCAAGGAACAGAAACTTTCACCTACATTAGCCTGTGTAAACACATGGTTTAGAATTCTCATTCCTTTGTACGTGAAACTGTCAAACACTAATTTCTACCTTGAGAAGAGTAGGAAGAAAAGTGTTCAGGGAAATGGAAAAGAATACTACACTCACCCGCCTCTTTCCTAGAGAAGTCACCTAATTTTTCCCTGGCCATGAACCTGGCCTTTTTCACTGCAAGGGAATCATGTCAACTCTGAGGTCCATGATGCTCTAACTCTAAAGGATCCCACTTTATAATCTGGTGTCTTCCGTAATATGTGGTCAAAATCAGGTGAGTGCTTTGGCCGAGAGGAAAGGCTGGAGTTGGCAGCTTCCAATCACACATCAGCCAACTTTTTCTGGATTTTACACCATCTGTCCATAAGAGAGCTAGGACTAGACCATAGATCTCCCGGTTCCCAATCTGGGGTCCTCGGTTGGTACTCTTCTCTCTTTAGGAAACCATTCAAAAGGAGGCTGCAGACCTATCTCCCTGCCCCAGCTGATTTGAGTTCACATTCTTATCCCTCTTGCAACAAGTAGATTACTCTCCCCAGTTTCATAGTTACAGAGGAATACCCACTGGAAGCCAGCGACCAATGTCTCCAGTGTGAAGCCAGCCATCCTTGTCCAGGGCTTCCTGTGTCTTCTCCGGGTCCTTCAAGTAGCCTTGGAACACATTGTTGCCTTTGATGCAGATCTGTGTGCCAGACAGTAAAGGGGGCAAAACAATAGAAATGACTGCTGCTTATACCTGATGAAACACCTGCTCCAACCAAGTTCACTTGGTGCTTGCCACTACAGTATGGGGCTCTCAGTCCCCACTGTAGGAAAAGGCAGCTCACTGAGTCAAGCCTACGCCAGATCACAGCTGTGTTCCTTTTGGACTAAACCTCCCCACTATGATTATCTGAGTACTGGGCATGACCTACCCACCTCGCCTTCGTTGTTTACTGAGAAATAGTTCATGTCAGCCACATCTTCCAGCTTCACAAAATTGCAAGCCACTGGAGTCCCAACATGGCCTAAAACATAGCAGATATTCTGGGCTAAGCAACATGACACAAGGGTTTTTCTCAGATGTTTTTGGGATTGATTCTAAGAATGGGAACAGGACTTACACATTTATCCAAAACTGTCTAAATGCCTAGACCCTGGTTCAGTTAGTAGCCTTCTCCCAACCAGAAGCTGGGAAACCCACCTGCTGTCCAGTCCCCGGGTGACGTAATTGTACATCCAGCTGTGCATTCTGTTTGGCCATAAGCTTCAAACACCTGGGAAACCAAAGAGCAGCTTTGAGACTTGAGATTAAGTACGACTGGCCATGCCTTACGGCCAAGGCAGGCAAACAGGCTGTTGCAACAACAGGGTGGAGATAGTTTTGTGAACCCTTGAAAGGGTTCCCACAAGCGGGGGTTCGTTATGAAACAAGAGCATTCAGAAACAAACCAAAGTACAGAAATCTACATTAAAAAAATGCAGCCTATCAAGTAGGTGGGAAATGCAAATTATCCACTAAGTGGCAGACAGTCCAGTGGCCACTGGACTTAGCCTGGGCAAGAGAGCACCTATAAGGAATTGAGAAACAGTGGTGTGCTTATTGAAGAAAGAGCTCCAGCTTTGATAGAGGCCAAGGTCCTCAAACTTTCTGTATAGGCCAAGATGAAATAGTTTGTGCTTTGCGAGACATTTAGTCTCTGTCTCAACAACTTAACTCTGCCGGTGTAACATAACGGCAGCCTCATGTGAATGATGGGGTTAGCTAAGTTACTGTGCATTTTCAACTCTAAAGCAGGGAGTGGGGGTTGCACTATGGTTGCTAACCCGCGCAGAGAGAAGATAATCTTGACCAAAGAAAGGCTGGTGTCTGGAAGCAAGTTGATAGGCTACGCAGCCAGAGGTGTGTCCTGCAATTGGCAGGGGTAGTAGAGATAAAGAGAGATGCAGAGAGACGATATCTCTGGGAAAGGGGTTGGACGCACAACTTTCTATTAGTCTTTGGGGCTGAAGGAAAGAAAGATACTAAGAATGGCCAAGGGGATGGTCGTTTGAAAACCCCAAAGACGTGTCACTAACTGGTACCAGTCTTTTGATAATGGGCATGTGTATGGGGGATGTTCTGTGTGATGTAAGCCTGGATCTGTTCTCTATTGTGTTCATGAACCATGGCTGGCAGAATCGGCAAACTTGTTACTCACTTGGAATCGGAGAGAAAATATCCACAGTCAGATCTATACATTTCAGGTGGATGAGGCATACACGAAAAATGTAAATCCACAAGATCTCAAGAAAATGTGGGCACAGACAGTTTTAAGAAATCAGGGATTAGAAAGGATTATTGGAGTTGGAGAGATGGCTCTGAAGTTAAGAGCACTGGCTACTCTTCCAGATCTGTGTTCAATTCTCAGCAGCTCAAAAGCATCTATAGCTACAGTTACAGATGCAGTAGCAAGCCTCTTGGGTCAACAGGCACGCATGTGGAAGAATACCCATTTATATAAAATTAAAAACTTTTAAATTATTTAAACAAAAGGCAACAAAAATTTTAAAAGGAAAAAATAAAAAAGAAAGGCCTGTCTTGGCAATTAAAAAACCACAATAGAAAAACACGCATCATTTGACCTGCATATCAATTTGGTTTTTATATAGCTAAAACAGGGCGAAAGAAAAAAGATGGACTAGGAAAAGATGCCTGGCATAGCAGAGGTTAATTTTAAGTACATGAAGGACTCTTAGGCAACGCAACTAAATCTCTCTTTGCCTGTTTTCTGTGGAAGAAATGCAAGTGTCCATGGGCAGAGAATTCATAAAAGAAACGGCATGAAATGAAGTATTTTGCTTAGAGGCAACTAACTGGCTGAAAAATCTTATTGGCAAGTATGTGGGGAAAGGCACTTCAAGCATTACCTGAATGTATGAAAAAAGACGAGACCTGCCAGAAAGTTTGGTGATATACATTAGCATTTACTGGCAAGACAGGTAAAGGTACTTATTCCCAAACCTGAGGATCTAAAGTCCACCCTTGGGCCTCACATGGTGAAAGAAGAGAGCCAAAACTCTCCATCTGTGCTCTGACTGCCACACACATGCGTGCTCTGACAGCCACACACATGCGTGCTGACAGCCACACACATGCGTGCTCTGACAGCCACACACAGGCGTGCTCTGCCACACACATGCGTGCTCTGACAGCCACACACATGTGTGCTCTGACTGCCACACACATGTGTGCTCTGACTGCCACACACATGCATGCTCTGACAGCCACACACAGGCGTGCTCTGCCACACGCATGCGTGCTCTGACAGCCACACGCATGTGTGTTCTGACTGCCACACACGCCAGGCTGCGGGCTGAAGTGTCTAGCAATGGTCACTAACCACTGCTTTCAGTTAGCTGCCGTGATGCCATCAGATGGTGCTAACCACCCTTTTGGGTAAGGAGTACAGTGGGCAGAACACGAGACAACGGGTCCTCTGGAACGTTGATTCCATGTGTGTCAAGATTCCTATTTTTTGATGCGTGAAGAAATGAGTAGTCGGGTTGGGTATTTTGTCTAAGATTTGGGGCGACCTTCTCTTTAGCACTTTTCATGTACAGTTTAATTTCCCTGGAATGGTGTGCACCACTGATGTAAGTGTGAAATCTTACCGAACACCCCATTGCAGCCCGGAAGAATGTCAAGACTGGAGTGGAGATGGGAGCGGCTCCGGTGATCATGAGGCGAACCTTCCCACCCAGGCCGTTCTGTTTGGTGGAGACAAAAAGAGCTGTTGAACCTCCGTCCCTGGCTTCATCTACTGCAAAATGGGTGAAATCACATGCCCAGCTGTCTGACTTGGTTTATAAGCACTTACATTACAGCCTGACACTCTAGAAAATCACTTAAATCGCCAACGTGCCTGGGAGAGCTTCTGTGAGATTTTGTTTTTAAGTTCTTCAATTTACAGACTCAACAAAATAGACGAAGGCAATAACAGAGTGCTCACACCTACATAAAAACTGTTTTATGCTTTCTTTTTTTCTCTTTAGCGGCAAGAGAGTGATCTCAAGAGGTAACAGCAAGGGTTAGGAGGTGGGTAAGGCAGCACCTGCTGTGCAAGCATGAAAATCAGAACTCATACTCGGAATGCCATGGTGCACACCTGTAGTCCCAACGCTCTCCTGTGACGAGAAGGGAAGTGAATACAAGAAAATCCCTAGAAGTCAGCAGGCCAACAGGGAGCCTGGTGTATGCAGCAGTGAACAAGAGAGACCCTGTCTCAGACAAGGCAGAAGTTAAGGCTTGATATCTGAGTTGTCCTCTGAACTCTACACATACACTGTGGCACAGGCTTTCCACTCCAGCACCACTCACACACACACACACACACACACACACACACACACACACACACACACACGAGGAAGAAGGACACAAAGAAAACAGTGTGAGTGGCCACAGAAGATCTACGACAATCTCTAGTTAGGGTGCCCTGAGACCTGAGCCGGGAGGAAGATGCTGAGTAGCAGCCTGCCCTGGTGTCCAGGATCCATTCAGCTTACCTGGATCTTTGAAAAGACAAGCTTGTCCCACAAACTGTCCCGCCGAATAATGCCATTTTTCACTTCATTGAATTTACTCATGATGGCCAGGTTCAACAGGAACTTCTTCAAGGGTGTCTTCGCTTCATTTTGTACCTGGAGGATGATAAGGCCATTTGTGAGCAGCCAAGATGCCGACTTCTTGCTTCATAAGGAAGCAGCCCACACTCATGAACTAGTTTGCTTACTAATAAACCCACGAAACTACCAGTGGCCATGTCAGAAGAGCAGCAGGTGGCAGCAGAGGAGCAGCAGGTGGCAGCTGAAGTTCAGGGTGTCAGCCCACCAGGAGGCAACTCCTGGATGCATAGCTGATAGGTAAGTTCTGAGATCCCAGACCCCAGAGTGCCTTTTGCTTCTGCTGGCCTTTTACCTGATTGCCTCTGTCATCTTCCTCTGGTGTCTGGCGTGCTGTGAATGGGTGTGGGGACATCCCCACGGCTTATAATGTAGTGTGTTTATCTCATGGGAATATTCCCTTCCCCTGGGCATTTTTACCTGTGGATTATTAGGAAGATGATTTCCTCCTAAGCTGTACTATTTAACTGAAGCAAGGATTTTACACAGTAACAGTGTTAATTTAAATAGGATTTTGATGATTGAGGTTTAAACAAATATAGTAAGGGATTATAATAGAGGTTATTTTAGTAGCAAAGTTAACATAAGTAAAGGTAGGATAAAATGTTGCCCTTGCCTCTGGTAGAGCAGAGGCTGCAGAGGATAAAAGACAAGACAAGTGTCACACAGCTGGGACACACGGGTTTCTCCTGAGGAGCCGCATAGACTGTGGCTCCGGTTAGTGATCAGGAGAAACAGTTGAGTCACAGAAGCCCAGCTAGTTTAAATTCTTCTATCTTAATGTTAGGAGATGTGTTCACAGGATTCGGGGTGCATCACAGCTGAATCAAAGCTTCGAAAATAACTTAAGTTTAGACCAGACGTTTTTGTCAAATAGCTTTGAGGTGAAGACCCCAAGAAGACAATCTCAAGTTGTAGGAAGGCACATAGTTGTGTGAGGAACTCATGGAGGTTAGGGAACAAGCATTAATCTTTCAAAATACTTCCACTCAAGAATAAAAAAGTTCAAGCACACAAACAGGAACCCTAACAATCCACCCTAAGGATTCCACAGTGTGATGAGGAACTGGAGGGGTTGTGTCTACACGTCCCAACAGAACAGGGCTCGTACCTTGTCATAGACCCTGTTAAGGAGTCGAGGCACCGTGGGAAACACTGTGGGTTTCAAGACCTTCATGTCGTCAGGTAGCAACCGGATATCTCCTTGGAAGAACCCAACTTTGCCTCCACAGGAAAATATGACAGCCTGAAACAAGATGGAAGACAAGGCTGAGAGCCATGGATCACTGTAGGCGGGACCTGCCTCTGATGGAATTAAGGAAGCAAGCAGAAATCCACAGGCACTTTCTTTGGCCTGACACCTGCTTCCTACCAACGTAGATACCTAGGCATCTCTCAGAGGCTCCCCCAATAAAGGATGGAAACGTATTACTGTTGAGGTGGCAAGACAGATAAACTGTGAGACGGTGGGTCCCACCCTAAGGCTCTCCCACAGTTCTGTATGCCAGCCTAAGATAGCATCCTTCATAAGAAACACTCATCTTGTGGGACTAAGAAAATCCACTGTCAGTTAAAATAGAAAAGCACGCCTTCAGTTAAGACCATCCCGATTTGAGAAATGCTAAAATACATGTAAAGTGTTGTTATAGCCACTGAGTCATTTTATATATCAACCAATGATATCCTGAGTAAAGTGATACTCGGGCAGAGAGAATGAAAGCACCTTCCACCCACAGCACCTGTGGTTTTGAAAGCTCAGTACGTCTTTTGTCCTCAAATCCGCTTCAGAATGGCTGGAAATTTTGTAGACCATTCCCAGCAGGGACACACACTGTGCCTGGCAATATCACCTTACACACTCAAGTGAGGGGTAACAGTGCTCCTTGGGGACAGCTGGCCCTTACACACTCAAGAGGGAGGTAACAGTGCTCCTTGGGCACAGCTGGCCCTTGACCTGGGTCACATGTTCCTTTCCTGATTCCTCTGTGAACACTTTTTCTCTAACCTTGAACCCTCTCAAAATGTTAACCAACACAAGCGTATAAAAGAAGACATGATGTCTGTTGAATCACCTCAAGGGTAAGGAAAGACAGACAGGAAGTCAGGAGCAAGTATTAACCTCCTTAGGGGTGCAGAGTTTCTTCATGGAGGACCTCAGGAAGTTGGGGCGCTACCATGATTATGACACAGGATCCAACGGCATGCCTGTGCCTGATCCGCTAAAGAGAGAGCTGCACTGGCTTCTAGATAAATGTGGGACCAACAAGTCAGAAACCCCTTCTCCTACACACGAGGCACACAGGACACTCACCTGAACAACCCTCTCAAACATATGGGCCAAGGGAAGGTAGGATATGGACACGTCCTCGGGAGTGGGATGGAAGATAGGCTGTAGATGAGGGACAAGGAAACAACCGTGGATCAATGTTGAGTTTCTCTTCCAATAGCAATGTTAAAACTACAACTCTCACCCTTGTCTGAGGAAGCCTGGCGGACGGAAACCATCCCATCCCATCTAACTGAGAGAGTGGTAGGGGAGAGAAAAAGCTTGACATGTTGGCATCATCTTTAAGATTCTTAAAATCCATGGCGCACGAACACCTCCCTGGGTACTCCATGAATCCCACAACTTGTTACGTTCTGTAACCATTCCTTGCTTTGAACCACATGGCATACAGATCCTAAAAGACTGAGGCTTGACATGTAGACCTAAAGACTATGCCAGTGGTTTCCATACTTAGGTACTGCTGCGGCTTACAAGCAAAAGGCCCTCTAGGCCTCTGTGTTCAAACAATCTGGTCCTCAGACAGGATTACTCTTTCCTAAGGTTGCACAACTTTTAGGAGGTGGAACCTCACTGGAGGAAGTAGACTACTTGGGGCTTGTATTGAGGTCTAAGGTCCCGCCCTACTTCCTGTCTACTGAGTCTGGATCCACCAAGATATGAAGAATCCCAGCTGGGCATGCCTCACAGACGAAGCTGCCTGGCTTCCAGCCTTCTCCTTCATGCTAGACTATTAACGCCACAAACATTAATCCAAAATAAGCCCTTACTCCCTTAAGTAACTTATGTTGGGTATTTTTTTCACAGCAATGAGAGACTTTTAACTGTATTTTCCCACCTCTGCTCCATCTAAATTCCACAATTTAAAATCTTATAGCTGATTCACGTTTTAATGAGGGTCTCATTTTTGACTCATTTTGACCACTGACCTCCAGCAATCTGAGAAAAGCAGCCATGTTTGAAACAACATTTTGATGGGTTATCATAGCTCCTTTGGGGTCACCTGTAGGAAATCAGAGGCGAAGAGAAAGATCCTTAGTGTGGCTAATTGGTAAGATTTGGCCTTGAAAGAAGCTGTTTTCAATTTGGTTCCATTCTAGAGACAAAAGTGTGTCCTCTTGCTGCAGCTTTCTGAAGAGATATATGCCTCTGCTTAGGAACGATTCACGGCCTACACTTACCGTATCTTAGGCCTCTTACTGATACAGCACAGCCACAATCTCAGATGGCAATAGTTAAGAGATTACAAATAAACCCTTCATGTGCTCTTCACATGTTTAAGACTTTAACCCTAAGATCATCTAACAATACTGCTAATAAACTTTATAAACCAGGAATACTGGAATGGACCACAGTAAATACAATTATACCTTCTACTAAATGTTAAGGACACACCCATCTACAGAGAGCCATCACAACCATCCATCTCAGTGTTGTGTTGTATGAAACTATCCCAGTGACACGGCTAATTAACAGTGGAAGGCGGAGAACAAGGCTGACATTTTGACATCATCTTGAAGAACGCTGAAGTCCAGAGCATGTGAATGTAGCCACGTGTATTCAGTGGAATCTGTTTCTTATGCCTCGGTTTTTCTATCTGGGAATCCACTCATAAATGTCTTGGGTTGTAAGCAAGGACTTGAACCTTGTTTCCCATTCCCTGGGAGCTCTATCAAGGTCTCACGGGCACTGACCTGTGGTCCCACTGGTGAAGCAGACAACACTTAGGTTTTCTGGGTTTGGAGGCTGGAGGTAGGAAGCACAAAACAGTTAGGCTGCCACGAGCTGAGAAGGGACTTTTACAAAACTCAAATTCAGGAGCAGCACTTACCACTGGCTTTTTGAAGTTCTCTTTGCCTAGAGTCTACGTGCACAGGAAATCAAGAAGAAAAAAAGAGTTGTTGAGAGTGGGTAAACTTATGACAAACTCGGCTCTCTTTCTCTGTTCCCAACCTCCCGACTTCCAACCCGGATTGGGTCCCCAAGCCAGTGCTGATGGGTAACGGAAGCTTTCCAGCAGAAAGCTTCTCAAGAATGTTAATCTAAAGAAGGCAACCTCAATTTCCTAACTTCTCAACACTCTGTTAAGGTCCGGTCCTATAAGACCATGGCCAACACCATTGCTGGATAGTGTAAATCAAGAGCATGACAGAATTTACCAATCACTTTTCTGAGCAATTCACACACAGACACACACGCACACACACACACACACACACACACACACACAAACTCATTTAGCTCTTGCCAACATGCCTGCGAGAGCGAGATCACATTAACCTCTGTTTATTGCTATGGGGAGATGTACTTCCAGACAGATAGAGAATTATAGTGTGAACCGGGTAACCTGCATCAGGGGCCAGACCTATAACCATCCTTGAGTTCTCTCTATCCAGACATTCTCTACTCAGAAGTGTATACAGCCAGCCAAGGGACCTTGTCCACCTCCATCATGAGTTCTGTAGTCATCTTGAAGAAATGGTTCTTCAAGCTTCTGAGTCTAATTAATGTCTATTTATGTCTTGTATGCCATCCCTGAACAACAACAGCCCATATACTTTTTGTGGAGGTGCCCTGAAATTGCTCAATGATGAATCAACTATAAGCCGCAAGCCATTTTTGATTCCTACCTCAGCATCAGACAGGGATAAAATCTCAACCCCAGTCTTCTCCCCTCTTTCCGTCAGGTCGGCATCAAAGGGGTCCATGAGGATGACTGTCTTCAGGCCCGGAGTAAGGCCCTTCTCTACATTTTCTATTAGCATTGTTGCTTTTTGGGGTGTATCACAGATGACCACAGGAATATCAGCTAAAAGCAAAAACCAAGCCAGAGGTCATTAACATACTCTACTTTGCAAAGGGAGGAGGGAACTTTTTTTTTTAAGTCAAACCCAGTAGGTCCCTGAATGAGACTACATCTGTGAGTTGGATTTACAGAGTTCAAGCTGAAATACTTACTCTATTAATTATAAAAAAAGAAATACAAGTCCCATCTTATTAATATTGCTGACACATTTTATTTTCTAGAATTATGCAAATCACTTTGTTTAAAAAAAAAAAAAAACTCAAACACTTCTTGTTGGGATTCATTCCTGCTATGTGCTCTGCAGAGTAGATAACCCACAAAGAAGCAAAGAACAGATAGAATGTTTAGTAGATCCAACATTTTAGGATTCTAAATGCCATCATTTTCTGATTCTTATCCTCACAACTAGAAAATTTCTGGTGTCCACTATTCAAACAAATCTACCCAGTCCACCAACCCAGAGACGGAAAATGAGAAAATGCTCCCTGGGGTCTGTGAGAGAGCTGCTTGCCAGTTGAACTTGGGTATGTTTCTCGAATAACAATGGCAATTTTCGTCCATATATTCACATGCATATTGGTGCATATTGCTCAGCTATACTGAATGAAGCTTTCAAAGGACAGGAAATAAACTCTGTAGTTGTACTGTGACTTAGGCAAGCCCATTGTATGCAGACTTTTATTCCGTGTGTTTAAAGTAGTCTTGTCTGTAAACATGCTACTATCCTATACCATATTAAATAATTTCACTAAACCTCTTATCTAAGCATATCTTGGTCTCATAGGAATGTGTAGTTTCCACGTAAATGATAGCCTAAGTACTATAATATCAGGAAAATAAGAAAAGAGAAAGAAAAAAAAAAAAGAATCAAATTGAAGAATTATTCCACATTAAGAAAGATTAAAGTTATAATGTAATAGCAAAGTTTTACCCTTGTTGATAACATATACGATGGCTTCTGCTCCCAAAGTGTCATACAGGGGGACAGCTACCATGGAATATGTGTAACAGGCCAACTCAGAGATGACCCACTGCAGAGACAAAGTTTAGGTTAAGGCCTAGAAGATAACTTCGAAAACATTGATTCAGACATTCAACTAACAAATGATTATTTGACATGTTTATATTAAAAAAAAAAAAAAAAAGCTTTAGGAATAGCCATAGGGGTTGCCAGTGATCCTGCTATAAGAGACATTTAGTAAGCATGTTAAGGTGTGTACAGAAATAACCACCAAACTGAGGTAGACCAGCACACAACGGAAGAAAGTGGTCGTTCCGTCAAAAGCATTATGGAGACTATGCATAGGAGGCAGAGATCATTTTCAGGAGCTGGGGTCAAGATTATCTGGGACTGCTCCAGCAGATAAATAAATTGGACATTGGACAAAACTTCAAAGGACTGCTAGAGAGGGTTAGGAACATGGAGGTAAAAAAAAAAAAAAAAGTATATCTAGATACCGTGGTTAGAAATACATCTAGGAAGCTGCAGCAATGACTTAGTAGTTAAGAGTACTGACTGCTCTTCTAGAGGACCTTGGTTCAATTCCCAGCACCCACATGGCAGCTCACAACTATCTGTAACTCCAGTTCCAACAGATCTGAAACCCTTACACCAGTGTACATAAAATAAAATTAAATATATTTTTAAAAATACATCTAAAACAGTGGAAATGAACAAAGATAAAACCATGCCACTATGTCCACATACAAGCATGAAGAGTGTGTCTCAGAGAATACCATGATCTTTTAACCATTGTTCTTAAATGTCCCTACTCTCGCCACTCAAATTCATGCTGAAACCCTGACAATCAGTGTGACTGTGAGGCTAATTGGGACTTAAGAAAATGGTCATAATCCATAGATGAAGCAGACAGCCCAGGGATGCATGTGCACAGAGGAAAGCCAGTGTAGAACATGATGTGAAGGTAGCCACCCTCACGTCAATGCGAGATGCATTAAGAGAAACAACTACAGGTACCTCAGCCTCATGGCAGGTTCGATACTGAATTCCCAGAACAGAGTAAGGTCACGTGTTCTTATTGACACGCCCAAACTGGGGTACATGGTGCTTTTCAGGACCAAGTTAAAAATCTAAAGTAACTGACTCTAGCAAATGCATGGGCCCCCCAAAAAATCTCTTCCTGGGGACTTTGGGGCTAATGATTTTATTACAACTTGGGAATAAGATTATTTCCAACCATCTTAGTGTGTACCATCTGCTCCCACTCACTGTGGAAAGATGGTGATGGCCAGACTCAACAGCCATGGGCACCTTTGGCTCACCGGGTCAAGTACAAAGCACAAATTCTAGTTCTAACCCTGAGTCATCCTGTTCTTCAAGACCTTCAAGATTTTATTTAGTCATCTCTCATACCATATTTATTTATTTCCCACATACGAAAATCAGACTGACTTAAAATGATCCACACAAAGGTAGGAAATGCAAGTCCAAACACTCAGACTAGAGCAGTGGACATTGAGTAGGGAATAAGGAGGATCTGGAGCCAGACTCTCTGACTAGAAGAATAATATGGAATCTTTAAGTAGCTTTGGTAAGTCATCAGCAAATGTCAAAATGCTGTGTCAGGGATATAATTTCATTTACTTAGCATCAACATGGTACCTCTGGCCTATTTTGAGCAAAGATGCCAACAAATTGGTCCTGTGATGGTTTGTATCCTTTATGCAAAAGACAGGAGCCCAGGTACTCTGCTCGATCAGACACCTAGGAGAGAAAATAAGGTGTCAGGGAGGAAAGGCCCAAGATCAAAAGAGACCAAATCAGTCCATGACACATTAGCAAAGGCATTTCCTAAAGCAGGAGGTTTTCTTGCCTGTTTGTAGGATATCCATCTGTAGGGCTGGTTTGGCTTTCTGTATCCCAGACAAGGTCCATTGTCTAAAACATACAACATTGAAAGCAAATCAATCCCAGCTGCAAATCGTTTGGATCAGACATGATAAAAGTGTACCCAGAACACAAAGGGTAAATCTAGCAAGAATCTGAATTTCTCTGGTGTCCGGGAAATTGAAGGGCAAACATTTAGGAAATATTACAAGACAGAGTAGTTCAGTACTAATTCCATGGCTACCATAGTAAGACAGGCATTCAGGCTACCAGTGTGGCTTAGCCTGTGTAACATGACAATAAATAAATAAATAAATAAATAAATAAATAAATAAATAAGCTGCACAAATATACACAAACAGCCGGCATTAAATGAGAGAGGGAGGAACTGAGCATCTCTATAATAAAAACATGCTACTAAAAAGCCATGACGAGTCCTCCTCATGCTATTTCCTTCCACTGTTCGTATACATGGCTTTACACAGATGTGCTCATCCATGTATGTGGAATGAACAGAGAAGTTTGGTTCTGTGCTTCCTTCCTCAATCTGCTATAAACATTTCCATGCTATGTTTTCTCTGCAGAGATTTCCACAGCCATCTATCTGATGGAGGACTCTCCAGTAGTTGACTTTATTTTATTGTGGATCTGTACAATAGCCCCAAGTTCCTGGGTCCCGCTAAATAATGCTAAGTATTGTCACATTTATCATTTCAATTTAGAATACCCCCTTAAACAGTGTTCCTTAGTATGAAGTAGAAGGACTGGAAGGATTGGCTAGTTTTGAGTTTGTTGTTTGTTTGTGTTTGTTTTGTTTTGTTTTGTTTTTTGTCAGCTTGACACAAGCTGGAGTCATCTGGGAGGATGGAACCTTAACTGAGAAACTGCCTCCACCAGATTGGCTCACGAGTAAGTCACTGATTAGTGACTGACATGGGAGGCGCAGTCCACTATGGATGGCTCGGGCAGATGAGCCTGGGTTGTATTAAAACTCAAGCAGGAGCAGTGATACTCATGGTCCCTGCCTCTGCTCCTGCTTGAGTTCCTGCCCTGACTTCCCTCGGTGACTATGAAGAGGAAGTATGAGCCATACCACTTTCCTTCCCAAGTTACTTTTGGCCATGGCTTTCTCCCCCTCTCACACCAACAGAAAGCAAAGTAGGGCAGAAGGGGTCTGGTCACCTAGCTCTGTGCTACTTGGCAGGACTGTTGTAAACATCTACTTCTGTCCAGCGAATTGGGATTTAGCACCTCATAGATGTAAACAGTGCTATTTAAAACCAACTTGGGGTTTTTTAGATTTGAAAAGTGGTTGCTTTCATCTGCTTTAACAGATAATGAAATTGGATCTTTCCCGGCATTTTTCTAACCAGCTGTTCGTGCACTTTACTTCTGTCTGAGAGTGTCTTCTAGGACAGGGAGTCTTACACACGCCTGGAAGAACACACACTTGCCTTCAGCATTTCTACAGTCTGTACCTTACACTGAACAGTAAGAGAACTCCGCTTCTGGACCTCTGAAGCTCGTGGCCTGACACAAAATCGGAACAAGTCTGGGGGATTCTGGGGATGTGGTTGAGTGATAGAGCATGGGCCGGGCATGCAGAGAGCCCTGGGTTCAATCCTCAGCACCACCAAAATAAACAGAGAGCAATGAGTGACAGTCCAAGAACTCAGTCGGATTGCTGAGAGGAATTCAGGTCTTGCCCGGGGAATCATCACTGACAGTTGGGGCAAAAATGTGAACTATTCAATGCAGTGATAAAGGAAGAAAGGAAGAGAAGTAGGAAGGAGATGGCCATTCTGATTGGAGAGATGGGGGAAATGAACGAGGAGACAGAGGGAGCACTATAACTTCCTGCTGAAACAGACAAAACTCTCCCTGGAGTACAGCAAGTCCTGATATGCACACTGACCACACTCACTGTGTGCTCTGGGCCCACCAATGACATCCGTTGTCCTGATATCAGTCTCCAATGACAGACTGCCTGTGTTATAGCAGCACATGAAACACTTGATCTTCGTGGCCACCGCCATTCCCGTTAGACTAAGAACTGCGAAGGACTGGGCCAACTTGAAGCTCACCTAATAAGAGGGGAGTCTGTGCGTGTAGATGAGACTCTCCCACACCTTCTCATTCACTCCCTGATTAGTAACACTGCTAACAGAGGCCCTGGCCAAGGAGCAAGGCAAATAATTAGCCCAAAGGGGCAACAGCTCGACTCTCATTAAATTCTGTGCCTGTCAGCTTTAGCTTGCAAACCTGACCTCCTTTTGAACTTACTCCGCTTGGACTTGGTTGGGTTCTAGGGTGTGGCAAGTTTCACAGAGTACAGTTGAGAAGAATATCACAGCTAGATGGGCACCCGGAGCTAAGCAGAGTTTAAGCTGCACTCAGGATCCCCAGAGTCCTCCTCTTAACTCTTCCCAAGAATGGCTAGGTCTCATTTTCTGGAATTCTGATTCAGTGGATAAAAGCTTGAACCATGAGTACACATTTTAACCTCTATTCCGGGATGAATCTGGGTGTTAAAAGGACTGACTGATACATTCAACCCCAGGTAACATCAGAATGGCTGTTTACTTCTTCAGCAGTAGCCAGGCCAGTCCATAAGCCTGCTTGCATAATATACTATATTAGCCCTTCCACTGGAATTAAATTTTTCAAAATGTCCCAAATTAAATGTCTTCTCAGTCACATATAACATGTGGAATGTCTTTTTTTTTTTTTTTTTTTTTTTTTGGCGAAAAACAGCAAATACTCTCATCACTCAACAGAATTTCTACAACCACAAAGGAAATTTGGCTTTAGCTATCTACCATCTGAAGTCCCCAGGGAAGCAAAGCCTTTAATGTTTGATTTGCTCTCTGTTATCTGCATGGAATCCAAACAAATGCTGATTTAGACCCAGAAATGCTGAGCTCAGGCTGTTGTGGGGACAGCTTATGGAAAGTTTCCTTAAAAATAAACCTACATGACTTTATATCTACAAAACTGAGAGAAAACCTGATACTTGCTTTTCTGAGACTGATTTGATTCACTTAATTCTATGATTTATTTCCATTTGCATCCATTTTCCTGCAGACAGCACACTTCACTCTTTTCTAAGGCTGAATAAATTCTATTGTTTGATAAACTACATTTATACAATGCATTGTGCATATAATCTGCTTTTTAAAAGTCATAGCATGGAATCTGCTCTAAGTTTAAAATCAAAACTAATAGGTATGTCCTTGTGTAAACAATAGGTCAGAATTTATTTACAAATAGTTTAGGTATGTCTATATATACATATATATTGAACAGAAAAGGAAAAATATGGTGAAATAAGCAAGCAAGTTTAGCAAATCGTCTTGAGGTTGTCATCGCTGTGATGAAACACCATGACCAAAAGCAACTTGGGGATGAAGGGGCCTCTTCCACTCACATTTCCAGGCAACAGTCCGTCACTGAGGGAAATCAGAACAGGAACTCAAGCAGGGCAGGGAGCTGGAGGCAGGAGCTGATGCAGAGGCCATGGAGGGGTGCTGCTTACTGCCTTCCTTCCTCGGGCTTGCTCAGCCTGCTTTACTATAGAACCCAGGCCCAGGCCCAGGGGTGGCCACACCCATCATGAGCTAGGCTCTCCATCACTAATTAAGAACATGCCCTTGCCTCTAGCCCAATCTTACAAAGGTATTTTCTCCAATGCAGTTCTCTCCTCTCAGGTAAATCTAGCTTATGTCGAGTTGACACTAGCTGGTACACAAGTGCAACGATTATGTTTCAGTTCTCAGTTTAATTTTTCATTATTGCTTTATTGATTTTCTATCTTCATCATAAATTTAAATTGACATATGTATCTTTTTCATAAATATTGCAGTACCTACCATGCAGAATGTCTTTTTCACTCAAATCTTTGGCAAAAGAAAATGCTCATCTTAGTAACATATATTTCAAAAAATAATATTTAAGAATTCACCTGTGAGGATACTTTTACGTTCTTCTCATACAAATTATTTCTTTACGGACATGCCATTACACCATGCCCTGAAAATACGCCAAGTCTACATTTTGAACAATATCTGAAGTCATTTTAGAAATGTACTATCTTATGTTGAATAAAACAAATATACAAAGAAAAAACTGTTTATATATATAGTGTGTATATGTGTGTGTGTATATATACATACATGTGTGTACATATATACATGTGTGTATATATATACATGTGTGTATATATATATATATACGTGTGCATGTATATATATGTGTGTATATATATACGTGTGTATATATATAGTGTGTATATGTGTGTGTGTGTATATATGTGTATGTGTATATATATATATAGTGTGTATATGTGTGTGTATATATGTGTATGTGTATATATATAGTGTGTATATGTGTGTGTGTGTATATATATATATGCATGTATGTGTGTGTGTGTATATATATATATATATATATATATATATATATATATATATTTATTTCATTTCCTTAGTGCGGTCTTCCATTCTTAGACACCTATGTTGGCCCCATACCTTAGCTATTGCAATGCTGCTACAATAAATACTGGCATGAAGGGGGTCTCTGTGATGTGTTGATTTAAAGTCCTTTGGGTAAATACTCAGGAATGTTGTAGCTGAGTCACGTGGTAGTTTTATTTTTATTTGTGAGGAACTGATCTCTGTACTTTATTCTAGGGAGAATGACAAAATGTGCTAATATATGTTATATACTTATATGAATGTGTCCTTATGTAAAAGTATTGTGTACAATGAATATACACAATGAAAATTAAAAACAAGTGAATAATTTTTAAAGGGCTAAAATATAAAATCTTTCCTATGGAGGAGTAATGGGGGATGTCCTTCTGTATGCTGTGAATATATGTTTCTTTTATTGGTTGATGAATAAAGCTGGTTTGGTCAATGGACAGGCAGGATTTAGCCAGGCAAGAAATCCAAATGGGGATAGAGAAAGGTAGTAGGAGGAGTCAGGGAAATGACATGTGGCTGCTCAGGAAGAAGGAAGCCTGGGCGTCACCAGTAAGCCAAGATCACGTGGAGATACACATACTGATAAAAATGGACTAATAACTATAGCCAAAAGAAGCCCGAGCCATCGGCCAAACAGTTTATGATTAATATAAGCTTCCGTGTGTTTCTTTAGGACTAAATGGCTACGGGAACAGGCGAGTCAAAAACTTCTACAAAGGAGTAACTATTTTGTTCAAAATATTGACCGACCTGTCTAATAGAATCCATCAGACTGTAACCTAACAGACGTAAGCTAAAGTACCAGCCCTAACCTTTTCTACTTTTTTGACCTTGTGAATGTCCTTGAACCCTGGAGTCTCCATTTCCTAACCTTGAATATGGAGAGTGGCAGTAACTAGCTAGTAATTAGTTGGTTGCATAGATAACATGTGTGCAGTAGCTGTTGCATTGTTAGTTCATCTTGGGGGTTGACTACTGACTTGGTCATTGATAACATGGGAAGGGAGGGAGAGGTAGCTGCCTCACAGGCAAAAAACGGATACTGGAAAAGTACTGATCATGAGGAGAGAGAGAGCCGTGAGACAGGCAGTTCGGTAAAGAAACGTGGGTGCCTAGCACTGGATTCAGCATCAGACATTAAGTAGCAAGACTTCATTTGTTCCAAATGAACGTAACAAAGCCTATTGGATAACCCTCCCCCAAGGCCCAGAGATCACTACTTAATGTGATATCAAACAGGATGGCAGGACCAAAAGCATGACATGGGAGTCAATAAAGAGCTGGGAACGTTTTTTACATCTCAGCTGTTAATCCTGACTGGTTTTTTATGTGATCGACCGCCAGGAATTACATTATGAAGAGTCGTTCTTAACCAGTGCGCCTGCCCACACAGCACTGGCCCACGCCTGGGAAGAGAAGCTTCCTGTCTGTTGAGTGTAGATTCAGAAACCGCGGGGCACTGAACCCCAGTGTGGAAGAACTGGCTGCCAGCAGCCATCGTGATACAGCGCTTCCCATCTGTCACAGTGCATCTCTGTGGAACACAGCCTTCCCACTGTGGGAGGAGGAGGAGACTCACAGGGAGGACCAGGGCAAACCGAAGCCAGCCCAGGCTTGTTACAGACAAGGCCAGGCGCTCAGGCTTACCAGACACAGCAAGTCCTCTTTGGAAAATTTCATACACCGTCTTGGCGTCTGAGAAGTAATAAAGGATTAGTTCGTTGTTCTTCTGGAACGCTCCACGCCGTGCTCCTCCCTAGGACACAAGACCAAGGTTAGGAAAAGTGTCTGAGTTTTCTCTCTACTCACTCCAAAATGTTAAGAAGACATCATAACTGCTGATTCTTGAAGTCATGGGGCCACTGCCTTCCTCAGTCAACTTGTAAGATTAAATTTGTTCATTGAAACTTTCATGCATGTATGTAATTTGATCTGATCACACTTGCCCCTTTACCCCCCCTGACCCTTCCCATTCCCATCTCTCCTCTTCCTAACAACAATTCCCCTCCCGCCTTCACAGGGGCTTGGAATCTATATAAACTGATGGCATGACCTGCCCTTGGTATGGTTAAGGGGAAGGTTTTTATTGTAGATGACAGAGAGACCAGCCAGAAGCAACTGGGAGAGTCCAGAGCAGAGAGAGAGAATGGACTAGATGAACATGGCCGGCAGACTGGACTTGGCCACGAGAAGGAGGTGGGGAGCGGGGCTTATGGAGAGAGATAAAAAAGCAGGGTTCTAAGGAGAATGGGGGTGGCGGGAGCCTATGAGCTGGAGGGAGTCCAGGATAAGGACGACTAAGATCTTCGCATGCACTTAGAATGTGTAACAGCTGCTTTTGTGATAGTGATGGCGCCTGGAAACCAGCATGCGCTGTGGTATGCTGACAGTTGTCACAGATAGCCATCAGTCCCTTCTGCCAGTGATAAGTGAACGGGGAGCTGCTGGCTTTTGTCTCTCAGAGTCCACGATTGCCTTTTGGAGTTTGGGAAATTGGAGTTTCCTTTGGAGCTGACAGAGTCTACATGGGTATGAATGAAGAACAATCCAGAGGACTGTAGGAAACTGGTCATTGCTGGCACCATTGAGTATTCTAAGCTCCTATATATAAAGCAGCTTCCAACAGTTGACAGCTCCCCAGGGGGAGGACAGGCATAGCCCCCATGAGCTCCTCCTCCTTCCATGCTCAGACCGTTAAAAATTGATGTTTTCATTTCTTGGTTGCATGCATGTGCACATGTGTTGGCACGTGTAACATAGCACACTTGGATTTGGTTCTCCCTTTCTATCCCCTGTGGGCCCTGCTAGGTCTCAAACCCGGGGCAAATGGATGAGGCGCCTATTTAACATACCAAAGCAGAGCTGGCCGCCAGGTTCTCCCAGCATCCCTCAGTACTCAGTAAGTGTTCCAGGGCATGGCTGGCACAACCCGGCCTCTACCCTAACCCTCTCCAGCCAAGGAGCGGGGCTGTTTCTCTATGGAACCCAGACATTCTGGCTGCCCCACCCATTTGCTACCATTTGTTTCCGCTGGCTCTTGCCACCCATCGAGTCTGACTCCATTTCTAGGGCCCGCCTTCTTAGCTCCCTTCCCGCCCCTTGTCAATGGCATGAGTGTTGACTGTGTCTACAGCTGCTAGACCCTTCCACACCCTTCCAAGGCACCAGCCTGGGCCCTCCTCTCACATCTCAGCTCAGTTCTGCTGGGTACCTCTACCACAAACACTTAGCATCTCCGCTTCCCACTGCCCTCTCGTCCCCCTAGCTTTCTCGTGCCTTCCCCTAGCAACTGCGGTCCCGCAGTATCTGCTTTCAGCTCTCTCTTTCCTCCTTACTTCTTTTTCCTTTCCTTTCTTTCTTTTTTTTTTTTTTTAATTCAGGCTCCAGGGGATTGAACTCAGGGAGTCAGCACCTTTTACCCACTGAGCATCTCAACAGCCCCTCAGTCAAGGTCTTGAACCTCCAAGTTGTTGGTACAGTCAGATTATATTTTACATGTATGTGCACACATGCGTACATATGTGTGAAAGCGTACATGTGAGTACATTCATGGGTATGTATGTATTCTGTTGGAGTAATGTCTAGGTGTGCACTCCGCGGCGCGTGTATGGGGGCAGAAGACAATTCTGCCCATCTTTCCATGGGCTCTGGGGACAGAGCTCAGGTCACCAGCAGGAGCAAGAGCCGTTATCTACGGAGCATGTCACTAGCAAAAGCAGATGACTGCTCAGAGTCGGCACGTAACTGTCTGGATCTGGCCTGCCTGTGCTTTTATTGAACACAGCCCTGCTCGCCTGTTTACACCACGGGACTGGCGCTTTCACACTGCGATAGATAGCATAAGTGGTTACAACGGACACCATGTGGCCCGTAACGCGGACACAATTTACTGCCTTCTACTTACAGAGGTTTCTTTGCCAAAGGGGAATCAAAAGATGAGAGATAAACTATGTATGAAGACGAGAGGAAGGAGCCTAGATGACTGAGGGTGTCCTCCCTGGGGGTGAGGTGGGGCTTCACTGACGTCCGGAGGGGTGTCAAGGTACGAGCGTCAAATCAGTGGGGAGGAAACCTGAAGGGGGTGGGTAGTAGACGGAGCCGGTGAAGGAAGACTGAAAAGGACAGGCAGGGCCATCTGGCTAAGAAGGGTGCCCCTCGTGGAAGGTAAAGTTAGAAAGGGTGCGGGGACACCCTTGCCCCTTTGTCTCGGAGGTCGGGAGGGAGCTGAGACTCTGTCTGAAAGACAGAGGGATCAAGAAAACAACTTCTCTACTGTCCTCACACATTGGACGTTTCCATGAAGCGCGTCTCCCAGCAAAGTGTCTCTCTGAACAGCTAGGCAGTACATGCTTTAGGCTTCATAGGTCATATATAAGCTGCCCTTTAGAAACAACTTATCCATTTAAGGGTTTGAGCACTATCCTCAGCTTTTCATCTGCAAAGAAAGGAGACTGGCTTGCAACCTGCGGTCCAGACCACTGTCACCCAAAGGCCCTAGTAGTTGCTTTACTTTGTTTCAAGGGAAATTAAGGAGAAATGTACATTTGGAGAGTGAGGGTTCGCTCTCCCACATTCTCGGTCACCCCCAGGTTTTGCGTTGCGGTTCGTGTCCAGTCGAGCTGACAAACTGAAGGCGGTGCGGACATTACCTCAATCCCCACAGACTGGTTGTCCAGGTCAATGAGAGGTAAGGCTGGCTGAGGCCTGTTGATCAGCCACAGGAAGATGGCCGTTCCAAATGTCAGGAGGCAGATCAGGGCCGGGGCCGGAAGTGGGGAAAAGAAGTAGTTAAAAATAAAAAGCATCTTTGTGAGTGCCAACAGGAAATTCAGACCTTAAAAAAAGAGAAAGAAGGAAAAAGTCAGGAAGTTTGGTTTACAGAGGTGCACACATGTACACACACACACACACACACACACACACACACACACACACACACACGCTCGCACTCCTGCTCTCCAAACAGAGCTGGGCCTCTCTAGAATTTCTCCCACTGTTTACCTTAGCAATGCCGGAAATAATGGGAGCGTTCTCCACCCTGGCCACTTGACCGTCCTCACACAAGGCAGAAAGGGTCAAAGAAGACAAGTTAATCATTTCCCAATTGTGAGAACCGACTGCCTCTTTGTTTGTGGCCCACAGAGCCTAGAAGGCAGCCTAGGCACCCAGTACATGCTAGTAGGAGAGAGTGCACAGACAGCTTCGCCTGCTCAGGCAGAGGCCTGCTCTTCCGTCTGGACTTCCCTTGGCATACACTAAACAGAAGGGACCTCACAGAGGTGATGTCACAGGGTTCACAAATCAATCACTGTGTGCAAGGCACTTCCTGCTGGCCAGACAGGCTTTGCTTATTACTTTCTGTTTTGAAGCACCAAGAGGATCACTGAGATTAACAGAGGTACAACCTCCAGCATCCAGTACCCCACCTTAGAAGCCCTGAGGGACCATTTCCCCCTGAGACAAACATTTGAAGTACAGAGAAAGGTTGTCAAGAATGTACTCGATGCACGATGGACAAATAAGGGTTTGGGCCATGAAACGCTCTTAAAGGGACTGACGCAGCCCAAGCTTCCTCTCCCTAGCTTTCCATAGCATTTCCAGCCATATTCTCCTCCCAGCTACTCTACAAGAAGAACTAACTTGGGGGGCAGACCCTAAGAGCATCTCCATAAGGGAGCCATTCTTATGTCTGTGTCCTCATCACTTGGTCAGGCTAACAGCAGCCAGTGAGTACTATCTATGCCCAACAATGGGCAGAGGTGGACGCTAATGCCACGAGGTACCATTTCACAGATGACAATATAGAGGCTTCTAAATGCAGTGACTTTTCCAGGTTCACTCACTGGTCTTCTTCTCTAGGAAGAGATATAAGCATATACCTTGTTTCTTATCATTTCTAGGCTCGGGACTCAAGAACCAAATATCTGGGGCCTTACAGATCACAGCAAATGAAGTCCCAGATCTGCATTCTTCAGGCTTGATTGCAACACACGACAGAGCAGCATCTCAGAGTCCAGGCCAAACTGATCCTACTCAAAATCAGAGGGGCAAAACAAGCCCAATAAAAAGTTTTATCAGATCAGGATCTTAGCTACTGATAGAGTGTTTTGAGACAGCTGCCATTATTTGGCATCTGGAACCTTCTTCAGTGAAGACGACTTTCGTTCTAGTCCAAGCAAAGCCATAAGGCACGGGGGCGGGCAGGGAGAAGAACAAGCAGAGAGAGAGAGAATTCTGGATCACTGTTCTCATGGGTCAGTCCGTTGTCTGACTGAGGAGTGGTTTCTTCCCGTTTTATGGAGGAAAACCAACTTCCAGAGGCTCAGACAACAGACCTCAAAGCTCTGAGTCTTCTACATTGAAGTCAGGAGTAGAAAACTAAAGAGAAGCAGGAGCCAGAACTACCTAGCTGGTAACTTGAGGGGCTATCACGATTCCCTGCCAGGGTCCTGACAGCAGGGGCTTGGGACCCCGGCTGTGCCGGGGCCTGTACAGCTGTGCGGGACTCCAGGAATCAGTGTGTCGCAGCAGCCAGCTAGGTCACCATTTTTCAGGCAGCCAATTCCAACACAGGGCAAAAGGGAGCCGGCCCCAGGAAGAATGGCTTTGGCAGCAAGTAGCAAAGCCAATCAGAAATCTGCTTGGTGCTTGCCTGCACCTGCCCCCCCCCCCCCGTCCTCTCGTGGGGCTGGGGCAATGCTGCTAGCTGGATCTTATCACTTGGGCTTTTCCCCTCTGCCCCAAGCTGCCCTGCAAACAAACAGAGCCTTACCTGACCTCCTTCAACTGTGGTAACAAGTTTCTGGCGCTGCGCATGCTGCCATCTCCTCTAGACGGCAAGCTGACGTTAAATGGGAGACTTACAAACACTATCTTCACAGGAGGGTCTAAAGGTGAAGTTTCTGTTCCGTGGTGGTGGGGTGGGGTAAGGAAAAGGGGGAGGGAAGGCCAACGGCCTGGTAGGTAAAACCACTGGGAGAAAGGAGACTAGGAGCCCTTGACTCGTCTGTCTCAGGAAGAGCAAATGCTGTCAATCACAGCTAATTGTTACCACATAGTCGCATGGGCTCAGGGTCACAGGGCTGTCAAATCTTTCCTCCTCAGATAATCCAGAAGACTAAGGTATCATAAAATCTCAGTTTTAATGAAAGGGAAGCTTTTAAAGAAACCAATAGGAGCATATCGCCTACTTTAATTTGAACCACAGCCTGACCATATCTGGCTATTCTTTTTAGAATGCCAGAGAATGAGTCTGACCGTGTCCCCACAAATAATAGACAATTTACATATTTTGTTTTTGTTTTTCGACACAGGGTTTCTCTGTGTGGTTTTGGAGCCTGCCCTAGAACTCTCTCTGTCGATCAGGTTGGCCTCAAACTTGCCAAGATCCGCCTGCCTCTGCCTGGGTTAGAGGTGTGTGCCACCATTGCAGGCTGACTTAAACATGTGAAGAGAGTGAATGGGGCTTGGGTATGCTGGCAAGGGGTCTGATGAGGAGGTGCTGAGGGTCTCTTTACCCGTCCATAGAAACGGCTGACCTGCTCAGCTTGTTGTTGCTAACTGAGTTTCAAACCCAAGACGATTACTCATAGAATTTCAGAGGCTTCTCCTTGCTACCCTCACATTTATTTTTAAATTGTGACAAAAATCATCCAGCAGAATTAGCCATTTAAAAATGTATCATTCAGGGGCCTGGGAAGATAATCAGCAAAGTTCTTGCTATATGGGTCCGAGGTCCACCCACTGGACCCATGAGAAATCTTTGGGGCGGTGGCACATGTTTGTAATCCTCACAGTAGGAAAGCAGATGCGCACAGATCCTGGATCTCACTGCCCGGGCAGCCTAGCTTCGTGAGCAAGCCTCAATCCCAGTAACGGGGCCTCCAGTTTCCTGAGGAACCTCACCTGTGCACACCCTTGAGTGTATCTGAATGTTCCATGCACACTCACATGAACACACATACACCCCCTATGACACTAGTGTAGCACTACATATGATACACAAATGCAGCTGTTTTGGTAGGAAAAAAACAGAGCCTGAGAGAAGGTGAGTTCTTAGGTTGAAATCTCACTGGATGAGGATGCTATGGTTACTATTCTATCCCTTAGAATCTACAAACACTCACAGACATATTCAAATAAACCCAGGCAAAGCCACCACCCCTTTTGTCCTGGGTTCTGTGTGGAACAAACTGAGTTTGTGGTCCAGTCCCCTCTAGAATCCCCTGCAAATGTGGTATGGTGGCTTTTGCTAGTTGCTTTGATGTCATGCCTCTGTGGGAAAAAAATCGGGAAGAGGAAAGAGGCGTGTCCCGCTGTGAGTAGAGTTTCAGTTCTAGGCAGTCTACACACGGAGAGGGGGCCACATTACACACGAGGACACCCCAGCTGCACAGCTTCCTCTGCTTTCAGACTTGAGGGCAGCAACATGCCTCTATCCATACACACACACACACACACACACACTCACACACACACACAGCATACACACACAGAGACATGCATGCACACACACATACACACAGGCATGTGTACACACACACACACACACACAAACACACACATGCGCACACACACACACACAGGCACGCATACACATACACACAGAGACATACGCACACACAGACATACACACACACACAGGCATGCACACACACACACAAACAAACACGTGTACACACACATGCATGCGCACACATGCACATAAACACACATGCACACACACACACACAGAGGCATGCAGACACACACACAGAGACATACACAAACAGGCATACGCACACACAGACATGCGCGTGCACACACGCACACATACACACAGGCAAGCATACACACACACACACACGTGCACACATACACACACATAAACACACATACACATACACACACAGACACGCATGTACTTCTTCTCTCTTGCCACCCTTAAGAAGAATCCTCTCACATCAATATTTTGGTGAAAAATGAATTAAAATGGAAAGGTTGTGTTTATGATACACAGCAGAACCAGGCTCAGAGGGACTGGAATTAAGCAGTCTGGTTTTTCACATCTGTAGAAAGTCTAGCCAATAATCACTATGTAATTGGAGTCTTAGGAAATGATGATGATAAGGCAGGGTATCTTTCCTTTCTGTTTCTGGGGAACTAATTATTTTCCATGAAATAATGATATATAAATTTGCAACTATAAAGTTAAAAAAAAATCTGCCTTCTAGAAGGTGGCCAGGCTCATTTAGACCTAATTGGTTTCTCTGTTTTCCTGTTGCATGTATGGACTTATTTTGTGGTGAGTAAAAGCTCATTAAAACAGAGACCAAAGTCCCGCAAGTTCTCACACCCAATTAGTTAACATATTCCATACTTCGGTGTGCTTTTTGTCTATTAACAACCATGTCACATGTCTTAGAACTCCCCATGATTCTGAAGGGATCATTAGGATGCTGAGTATGAAAGCTCTGGCCTGGGCTTCCCATTTCTAATTCAGCCTTCAACTTATTAGGACCCTCCTCAGTTATCAAGCCTTTATGCCCAGAAAAAGAAATGGTCAAAGGTCAAAAATCAATGGCCAATAGTATCATTGGTATACTTAGAAGGACGGGATAGCCTCTTCATTAATGGGCAATGAAAGTCAGTTGAGTGTGTGTTCTTTTTCCAAGAAAGGGAGAGATGTTGTCTCAAGGGGGAAGAAAGTTGCCTGTGCCTGTAGCCTCAGTGCTGGGGAAGCAGACAGGGGAGGATCCTGGAGGTTGGCTGACTGAGATCCAGCTGAACTAGTAAGTCCTTTCAGTGAGAGGCATTCTTCAAAGAGGAAAAAAAGAGGTAGAAGACACTTGGCTG